TAATAAATTAACGCTTCTTTAAGTAGAGCATGATGGTGTCCCGATAAAGAGAACATACACGACGTAAATTAGTACACTTGTCGGCATCAATGATGTTTCATTCCAACGATGAGTTTAAAACACGGTATTTCAGAAATGCTACCTTTATCATACACGCGTTGAATGAATGAAATAGTCTTTAATACGTAGCTATGCGTATCCTCCTACATTTATACTTGTAATTTCTTACTACTACCAACGTGGCTGGCATTTCGTTACTACTACTACTGTCATTACTAATTATACAGTTAGTGGCAACGGCCGACGAACCGTTTCGTGAAATAGTTATCAGAGCCAACAATCAGCTTGCCAGATCTTCTCTGTTTATTGACACCGTAATAACAGCTATAAGATAATTACTTTCATTCTAATATATTCCATTCAAGTTAATGTTAATTAAGAAAAATATCTATGCAATTTTAATTCTTTTTAATTTACTAGAGATTATTATTAATATATTATTAATGCTATTCAACAGTCAACGCATTAACGTTTTATATTTTAAGTTTTTAATTACACAAATGTCTTTGTTAAATACTGTGAGCCATCGATGGCCTTCGCTGTACTCATATTAACCAGGTTGAATTCGTGTTATAATTTACATCCTAAAGCCAAATACCTATCTATTATGCAACCTCGCTAACATTCTATTAATGTACCGTGTAAAATAGTTGGGCTAAAATAAATATGACAGTGAAGCACTTTGGTAAACAGGAATCCTTGAGATTATCCTAAAAGAGCCAAATACATACGTCATACATAAAATTACCATCGTTCGCAAATTCTATATCCATCGACAAATAGTGCCTTATTTCCGTCAGTTTCATCATCCCGATTTTATTACAGATATTTCTTCTTTTTACGGGCAGCATGGTCGAAGAGGATTCCTTGTTACATTAATTCAACGATCAGAACACGAGCCATTTATTGTAAGCTCGCTCGATCGACTGCTCGTTCGATTAGGTTATTTTTCCTTTTCTTCGTTCTCTCGTCCTTGCTATTTCATGCATGCTTCGTTTCTTCGGCTTCTTGTTATCCTTACTCCATCATCTGTTACCCGTTTCTACAGTCAATGAACTCGGCCTCCTTTTTCCATTGTCGTACTCCTAATTACGGTGTTTCGTGCTGGTCTCTGCGCGGCTTAATTTTTCCGGGATTGAAAATTTTCTGTCGACCGTTCTTCCTGCACGATAGAAACCAGGCCTGGTCAGTGAATCTGTTCTTGTTCAGAGGAAAGAAGAAAACGGAGCCTATCGTTGCTTTCACGATTTTTGTACCATTGGATTTCTAGTTTAGTTGTTGGCACGGTATTTTGCATTTTCAAGCGGAGAAAGAGATTTATTTTTCCCTGAAAGTAGAAATTGTTACGATTTTCTGTGTCAAATCAACGGGAAGAATAAATTGGTGGATGTCGAACAGTTTATTGGAATTTGTTCCTTAGTAGTTTTACTTTATTATTATAATTTTACTATAGATTTCCGTATTATTATTATTTACTCTATTTCATGGTGTATGAAATCAGAAACTATGAAATAGAAATCTATTACTATGTAGTTTCAGTTTGAATGGGAAAAGGAACGTAAAATTAAATGAGCTGTAAATCCTATGGAATGCGAGACTTTCAAAGTGTTAATACAAAATTTAACTTATTTATTGGAAAATTAAAAATTTGGTAAATAGAACATTTCTAATCCTCTGCTCTATTTCTAAGACTTGGGTAATTATAGAAATTCAAGTGTCATTCACGAAACATGGCAATCAGTATATTAAATCTATTTGTTCAATTTACTATAAATTTACATTAAAAAAGTGCGTCAAATTAAAAGATCAAAAATTTCCTAAAATTTGCAGTCTTCATAATTTTACCAGATATAACACGTCAAGTTTAAAAACATTCAGACGAATTAATTGAACATTTCCTCAACGTAGTCGGGGGTATTCAAAGCAAATTTGTTCGTAATAAAAATATTAGCATAGATTAGCATCTAATTTATTTCCAATGCAGTGGTACATATGTATTGATTTAAATATTTAAATACAGATGGTCAGCAATTAAGAATAGCCGGTGATGTCAGGGTCGCGAATAATTTGCAATATCAACGTACGATCGTTCCACGTCAACCTGTATTTCCGGTTGCAGGCATGCTACGTGAACCCGACGCGGTCATTCGAACGCATTCTACGGCTATAGGAGTCTGTTTGGTGCACGGCATAGCTATAGTTAGCTTGGTACACAGCCAGAAATTGCAGGAAGACGCATAGCTATTATACTTATCGTCATAGTGCTCTTTGAAACGTCGATGCTTAACAACGCATGAATCGCAAAGAGGTTTAATGGGAAAGCGCGAGTGTAAGATCGCCAAAAGAGGATGCGCGCAATCGAGTTAATTATTACGAAGGGAGAGAGTAATTCTAATTGATCTTACCTAATTCCTTGTTAAATTATACGCTCCTTCAGCCACAATAAATTGTCTAATATTTATAATAATTTCTACCTCGATTGTACCTTAAATTTAAATATATAATGCTTTTATTGCAAAATTATTTATTATAATTCAAGAAATAGTAATTTTCAATCAAAGCAGCCTCCATTCAAGATAATAACTTTTCAATTTATTTATGGTAATTTTTCAGCTCTAGAATTCTAGCAATTTTGAAGATCTGGTATACTCGCAATAAAATTAGGGTCCATTAGGGAGGATGGCAATATAGGGGAAGGAGGAATTCTAAAAATCTTAATTTTAACGATATTAATATTGAAAGTAATTTAAAAAAGAAAATAATGTAATTTTTAATTAAGAAATATGAATAATAAATAAATATCAATTTAAATTTCCTCGCATAAAGTATTTGTGTCAGTCTCTTATGTATATGTATGGAGCTCTTTCCCTGCATTGCCATTCTCCCCAGGGATGCCTATGGGGAAGGGTCGAAACCCAAGACATCACCATTATACCCGGGGAAGCCAGATTTATTACATATCTATTTTTGTGATTTACGAACCAATTTAGTATGCTCTTTCACAATGATGTGTAAAAATAACATCGATTGAAGCTGGCTCGCTATTGTAACATAAACGACAGCAGGGTTCTATGTTTAGTCTTCTTTCATCTTGAGCAAGGGGTTACGGAAACCCTTAAAGTGTCCCTTGCCAGACGGTAAGCAAGGGGTACTCATTTGTGCGTAAGTCATTAGCTGCGATAGCTTTTTCCGAATGAATCAATCCTTACTTCAGCTTTAAAAAAAAGTGACTCATACTTGTCCAATTGCGTATCTTCCAAGTGAAAAATCTTTGCTCATACCATTAAGTCATTGATGTTAATTCATCCAAATTGTTCCTCGTTTTACCATTTATAAATACAGTAAACTTTGACAAGAATATAATACATGGTATTTATTTTTTGAATCAAAGAAATTGAAATACCAATTAGACTTTATATTTCTTTTAACAACTTTTTATATTACCGCAGAAATATTTGCAAAGTTATTTTGGATACTTTTATGTTTCCAACATTAAAAATGCAAATGATTTGAAATATTGAAACTGCAATAAGTATTAAAGTATATGGTTACTCACACAAGCAATACATAAATGGGTATTACACATTTTTTTGTCAGAAAATATTTCAAGATACACGACGAACAGGTACATCTTGTTTCAATGTTATTCCAAAGCGATTGATGCGAACAGTGCAGTTTTTCTTCTGCAGACCAAGGTATCCAATCAATGTGAACCTTTTAAGGAAAACTATGTCGAGTTTGTTGCATACACTGGTAAATGGAAACCAACCCTTTTAGTCGATGCAGCTGATTTAAACGAGGAAAGTAAACCGGCAACTGGTTCTGTATATTTTAAGATAAAAGAAAAGTGCTGTTATACTTTTAAAATATGTATTTTAACATAAAATCGATTCTAAATAAAAAATGTCCTTATATTCATCATTTTTTTACAAAATTTATATTTTTAATATTAGTAGTTCATATTACTATAATATAAACGAGTAAAATATTGAAATATCAATATACCATGAACTACTATGTATTTTAATATAATTCTAAACAAATTATCGACGCAAATACCGCGCCTACAACGAACGTATTCCACGAGGAGGGTAATAGTAATGAGTGCAGTGACCGCGGATCGTCTCGGACCTTCATCGTTATTTCACGGAAGATGCAACACACCTTGAAGAGAAATGGGATGAAGCAGGTTGTTTAAGACAGTGAAAGAAGACGGGTACGACAGACATAGAAGGGACTATCCACGTGTCGGAGTAACGGTTCACTGAATTATTTAAAGCATGATGGAGAACTTTGCAAGCGCAGGAGGTTCTGTACACCAGACTTGCATACAGGATACTACCTGATTTAAGTTCATTGCAGATGTGTCACCAGATATAAGTACATATGCATATGATAATATTACACGGATACTTAACGCCATTTGAATATCATTAAAATTCAAGATGAACATCTTGACATTTTTCAAATCTCTATTGTATTTCGACACGAATAATTACTTTAGCTTTCTGTCAAGAAATATCTGCGTTTTTATTAAAAAATTTTAAGGAAAATATATTTTTGTCATTTAGAAATATTTTCCCCAAAATATAATATTTTTCAAAGTGATCAATGTGGTTCAACCCTTTAAGAAATTAATAATCTCATTAGTAAACGATGAACAGTGGATCAGTTTTTTAATATGACATTTAATGGCTCAATTAATTTGATATTATAACAAGTGTCTCGTTACATCTTTTGCTCAATTGAGCGTATCTGATTGATGGCATGGCAAAACAATCGCATCGAAGAACGTGACGAATGATTAAACACATGTGTAATACTTGATCGCGAAAGAAAGTAACAACACGGTGTTCTTCTATTAATTATTCATTAACCAATGCTACGCTATGCATTTCATATAGTTTTATTATACATTTTTTCTCATCTTATTTTTACAGAGTGACCCCAGCACGGCATTTCTTCGAGCAGCTCGAGCAGGGCAGCTGGAAAAGGTTTTGGAATATTTGGAATCGGGAGTGGACATTAATGCTTCAAATGCTGTAAGTTAATAAATCAATGATTTTTATTAATTTTATTTTTTTTAAATGTTGGATTTCATAAAAGACATATAGGGTGTTTCATGTAACTGGATCGAGTTATAGCTTTATAATAATAGAAAATAGAAACAAAATTTCATTAGACAAAATTAATTAACTTGAAGTTATATATATAATTTTTAAAAGAATAGTGTAAAATTTAGAAAATGAAGATTATATGAAATATTAAATTCAAATTGGAGTTTTCTTCATGGTTCGCCATGGTTGAGCTAAAGAATGGACTTGATTTACATTAATTCTTAATTTTTATTCATACTTTTATTTTCTTTATATATCATAAATTTTCTTCTTTTACGTACCTTATCTTATCTATACACATGCCTTACTTAAGTCGCTTTCTATTGTCCTCAACCGTTTAACTACTTTTCCTTTTCACTTCACCCTAACACCTCTTCTAGCGTGTAATTTCCTTTTTCCGTTCCATAACAATCTTCTATTCATATGGCAAGTGTTTTAATGCCCCCTTACCGTTGCTATAAATTTTACGTACTCTAGCTACTTTTTATTAAGTACTTGTTACACTTGTTACGTCTATTTTTTCTCCTATCCTTCATCAGGTCCATATTTCGGCATAGAATGAGACACCTTGTGTTCAGGCTGAGATTTATGGATTGAACATTCACGAGGCATTCATTAATTACAGAATGGCTTAAATGCTTTACACTTGGCGGCCAAAGATGGACATTTGGAAATCGTCAGAGAACTTCTTAACCGTGGCGCAGTGGTCGATGCTGCTACCAAAAAGGGAAACACAGCGTTGCATATCGCTTCTCTTGGTACATAAAAACATTAACAATTTCATCTCTTTTATGTCAGGGATAAAATGTATTTTTTATTACCAAATTTTTTGTTACCATTAGTTTATTATCTTAACGCGTTGAAATGAATCTGACGTTAAAAACATAAATCATAGAGGCAAATAATTAATCGAATACCAGTCTAAATGCTTTTATCTTTTTGTAAATAATAATGTGTTGCATGCAATGGGCGAATGGGATGAGCGTTTCGAGTTGAAATTAATGTCTCATTGTAGCTGGACAGGAGGAGGTGGTACAATTGCTGGTACAACGAGGTGCTTCTGTGAATGCACAGTCACAAAATGGGTTCACGCCACTCTACATGGCTGCTCAGGAAAATCATGATTCCGTAGTCAAATATCTTTTGAGTAAAGGTGCCAATCAGACATTGGCCACTGAGGTTTGTAAATAAAATTACTGATAAAAAATAATAAAATTTTCAAAATTTCTTCACGGACAATCGCCTCAATAACTTTTCTTCAACTTCAGATCATCTGAAATATAACAGAGCCTTCCTTTAAATACCAAACATTTTTATTTTTAAATTTCCGAAATTTCATAGATTGCTAACTGGCATTTACGATATGCATCTATGTAATTGTAGGATGGCTTCACCCCGTTAGCAGTAGCGATGCAACAGGGTCATGACAAGGTGGTGGCAGTTCTATTGGAAAATGACACTCGTGGTAAAGTTCGACTACCTGCCCTCCACATTGCTGCCAAGAAAGACGATTGCAAGGCTGCTGCCCTACTTCTGCAAGTATGTCGTAATAGTTTGCTACCGTGGCTCTACGTTCAATTCGATTCAATCAGAAACGAAATGAATTGATTTTTTCATCTTTTCCATCTCACAGAACGATCATAATCCCGATGTAACATCGAAAAGTGGTTTCACACCGCTTCACATAGCTGCACACTATGGAAACGATCGAATTGCTTCCTTGCTGTATGATAGAGGGGCTGATGTTAATTTCGCGGCAAAGGTATACTTTTAATTATTAAAAGAAATCATCTCTTTCTGGTCCAAGTGTATCTCTAAATAAATAAAGAATTTCCAAGATGAATAGACTGCAAACGATCTTACATTTGTGAAGTGTTGCCCTGTATTAAGAATTTCATTTTTATAGCACAATATCACACCAATGCACGTAGCAGCAAAATGGGGAAAAATTAAGATGGTGAATCTTTTAATGAGCAAGGGAGCTAATATCGAAGCGAAAACGAGAGACGGTCTTACACCCCTTCATTGTGCGGCACGATCAGGTCATCACGAGGTCGTTGACATTTTAATAGAGAAAGGTGCACCGATCGGTTCCAAAACGAAGGTAAACATTTTCATTGGATGCACTTTCGTTGAAGGTAAAACCAGAGCGAGTTGGGTTGATTCTTGTTTTTCTGTTGACAGAACGGTCTTGCACCGTTGCACATGGCTTCTCAAGGAGATCACGTTGACGCAGCGAGGATATTATTGTATCATCGTGCACCGGTGGACGAGGTGACGGTTGATTACCTGACAGCTCTCCACGTGGCAGCTCATTGCGGGCATGTGCGAGTTGCTAAGCTTCTACTCGATAGAAATGCCGATCCAAACGCACGAGCTCTAAACGGCTTTACTCCACTTCACATTGCCTGCAAGAAGAATCGACTGAAGGTCGTTGAGCTCCTTTTAAAGCACAAAGCTAGCATTGAAGCTACCACAGAGGTATATTCGTGTTTCTTTATTAGTATAGTTAATTACTATCCTTATAGTTAAATAATTTACGTCATAGATACACACACGTACACGTGATAGTGTCAGCTATACATTATGTATATTCGCCATTTACCTTTAATTAGAAAATGATCTATACCATTCAAAAAGATGACAATACAGGAAAATGTTATTATTTCTTAGTAATAATAGACTCGTTTTATTGCTTAGTCTGGATTGACGCCTCTACATGTAGCAAGCTTCATGGGATGCATGAACATAGTGATTTATTTACTGCAACACGCAGCTAGTCCCGATGTACGAACTGTAAGAGGCGAAACGCCTTTGCATTTAGCTGCCAGAGCGAATCAGACTGATATTATCAGGATACTTCTTAGAAACGGTGCCCAAGTTGATGCCACAGCAAGGGTAAAGAAATAATTTGAATATTTTCAATAAAAAGTAGCATGAATATTTTATTCTCACTTTGTATTATAATTTTGAATTAGATTCAACTGTATTTAAATGGATTTGAATAATGTAAACATTGCAGGAGGAGCAAACACCGCTCCACGTAGCTTCCCGATTGGGTAATGTTGATATTGTAATGTTGTTACTTCAACACGGTGCCGACGTAGATGCCACGACGAAAGATTTGTACACTCCACTTCATATCGCCGCTAAAGAAGGTCAAGAAGAGGTAAAAATTTCAGTCCATATTATTCTAATAGTTGTTATTTAATCAATTATTGATAGTTACAAATAACTTTCAACACAATCTTTTCGATTTATAGGTTGCATCCGTTTTATTAGAAAACAGCGCATCGCTTACCGCAACGACCAAGAAAGGATTTACACCTTTGCATTTGGCAGCTAAATACGGTAATATGAATGTAGCAAGATTATTATTGCAGAAGAATGCGCCAGTCGATGCTCAAGGAAAGGTTAGGATCTTCCTTTATTTTGTAACAATAAATATAAGTTTGAATTATACAAATCTATTAATTAATTACAGAATGGAGTTACTCCACTCCATGTAGCATCTCACTATGACCATCAGAATGTAGCATTGCTTTTACTTGATAAGGGTGCATCACCTCATGCTATGGCCAAAAATGGTCACACACCATTGCATATTGCTGCACGTAAGAATCAGGTACATAACAGAAAAACAATATGAATTAAGTAAAATATTCAATATTTATTATCAGTGGTTCTAACTTAATTTTATATTTGTTGCAGATGGACATTGCAACTACTTTGTTGGAATATGGGGCAAAAGCAAATGCGGAATCAAAAGCTGGATTTACGCCGCTTCATTTGAGTGCACAAGAAGGCCACACCGATATGTCAACGCTTCTTATTGAGCACAAAGCAGATACAAATCATAAAGCAAAGGTAATAGAAACCCACAGAAGAACATAAGTTAAAAAATACGAGCGTTAATGATTTCTTTTTATGCAGAATGGTCTCACGCCGCTACATTTGTGCGCACAAGAAGATAAAGTTAACGTTGCCTCCATTCTCGTGAAAAATGGTGCTCATATTGATGCTAAAACAAAGGTACATTCATATAAAAAAATTTATTACATGCTATTATAAATTGGAGCAATGCAGTACAATGTTTGAATGATGGAATATATTCATCCAAAAATGATTATTTGTGCTATAGGCCGGTTATACTCCATTACATGTGGCAGCTCATTTTGGTCAAGCAGCTATGGTACGATTCCTCCTACGATCTGGCGCAGCTGTCGATAGTAGTACCAATGCTGGATATACTCCATTACATCAAGCTGCACAACAGGGTCATACATTAGTGATCAATTTGTTGTTGGAGGGTAAAGCAAAACCAAACACTACCACCAATGTAAGTGAATTTCACGAAAACTTTGCATATACTCATCAATCTAACTTATTTATTATTACTACATAGTGTTTTGCTTTCTATAGAACGGTCAGACTGCATTGGATATTGCACAAAAACTCGGTTACATTAGCGTTATCGAAACTTTGAAAGTAGTTACAGAAACAGTCATCACAACCACTCATACCGTTACTATAGAAGAGAAATACAGAGTTCAAGCACCAGAGTCAATGCAAGAGACGTTTATGAGCGATAGCGAAGACGAAGGGGGTAAGTGTTTGCTTCTTTTTATTTTGAAACATTTCAGATGTTGCTTCATTATAAGAGGTTATATATTGTGCTGAAATCTAAAATTGAATATTTGTTATCATTGTTTTTACATGCTGTCTTAACATTCTATGATTATTAAATTTATGTGATAGTAAGATGGAGCATCAAGTTATTGTAAAGTGATTAATTTAAAAGGTTGAGAATACTGTAAATTTGATATCAGTGTGTGCTCTAAAAATTGCTACTGTCATCTAGCGGCGAATGGAGAACGAAAGGCATGTATAGCATCGAGCAAAGTAAATGACACATATTAAAAGTGAGTTAGAAATAAAATAATTTAATTTTTAATTATTAAACATTATAAAAGTTAGTAGACAACTGAATAATACGAATAACAAAATAAATATCAATTCAAATTCGTCTGCGTAAATGTTCACGTAAGTGGTCGGAGGCCACAGGTCTATATGTATGAGACCTTGTCTGCTATATCGCGGGACCCGGTAACCCAGCGAAGCCTTCCTTGCTTGATGCTGTACAATTGCTTTTTTCTCCATGAAATAAGTAAGCTTTGCTCTTCTTGTCATAAGTAGAGCATTCAATAGATGTAATATAACTTGAATAATGGTATTATATTTCATTTAAAGCGTTAAAATTGATCAAAACAATCGATTATTTTATGAAAAATAACCCTTCATCAGTTTCACTCTATTATTGCCAGATGGCAGTAGTGATGCTTTTATAGCGCCTGTTGATTTAAACACTATTTTCAATTTATCGAATCAATTATTTTTTAATAACACGATGTTCTTACTATTACATAAATTAAGTAGTTATAATACTTTTATTGAGATGTTCAACAAAATTGCAATAATCTTAGTTGGAAAAGTGTTTCAGTGTTTTTGTCATGATACTAAGTTAGACCAAATTTAATTATTATGCTTAATATTTGTGCTAAGGATGAATTCCTTTTTTAAATAAATTATTTTTATTAAAAATATAATTTAGAAATAATAGTGATAGTAGTGATCTGCTAATATGCTTGTAATGCAATTTTGCTTCTGTAACACGTGCTTCTTGTAGATAGAGCAGCTTCTAATATAGAAGAATATTAAAAGATATTTTTTCTTTATTTAAATCATATCAAAATTCATTGCATGAAATTATTTTTCTTCAAATGAAGTACTACAAAATTATTAATTATTGTAACTAAACAATAATACTCTGTCCAGTACCAAACTAAAACAAAACCATTTCACTATCCAAAATACTTTACTCAAACTCGTCTGTAATATAACAAATTCTACTTGAAGATATTCTTTCATCAACTTTAACATTTCGATAGCATTTCGTGAAATAAGTATTTGTTTACAAATACTGCTTGCAAATTAAAGTTTATCACAATCAAATTTTATTTGCACTAAAAGGCGTGAAACATTCAAAGTAGCTCGAAGGACACACGAAAATAGCACTTTCCGTTTTATTACACTTATTCACTGTTCGAAAGTGCATGTATTTAGAGCATGCAAACTTTAGAAACTTCACGCATACACTGTGAACCCGAATACGAGCTTCCCAAAACAAATATTATTGATACGCTTCCACCGAAGAGACTACAAAAGTACAGTTATTTTTAAAAACAGTTAAGAACACCGACATACGTCATAGATATTTCTAAATTCGATTACAGACATCACGTACGACGCATTTTTTAAATTTATATAAAAAAAATTGTGCTAGAGAGCCATAATTATTGTCTGCCATATATATTTCGTGTTAATGGTCTCATTGTCAGATTTAGAGTCAAAGTGCTATATGGTAATATTATTTGCTTGTCTTGCGTTTATGTTAAATTCATTTTTGCAATGGCATGCGTTTAGCGTATGTTCACTGGGTTGTTGCTATCTTTCAGAGGTGCAATTCACCATGACAATTAGATGCACTAGCGTTTTAGATGCATAGATAGAAAAGCTATATCTAATTATAATTAGTATCATAGAAATGTTTGAAAATTTAGTAGACTCGTTAAAATAATGTAGTTTTATCCTTACTTAGATAATACCGTGCTGTTTTCTAATATTTAAGAGTAATAATCTAAAATGTATTTCTAGCAGCAATTATTTTCTTGCGATTATATTATCGATTAGATATGTATAATAAATGGCTCAGAATTCTTTTTATATCAATTTAGATAGAGAATCATAATAGACAGTGATCCAACCAGATTTGCTTGTTTGCTTGACTAATAAAAATGCTTAATCATGTACTCATTAGCTAAATTTATTTTAACCAGAAGAGCTGAGAAACGATTATTTTAATCGGTCACGGTATTCTGCTATTGGCATAACGATAGATTTCATTAGGAATCGAAAGAAGAGCTTCATGTGTGCAACGCGCTAAATATCATTGAAAGAATTCGAAGCAAACGAACAAAACTGCGCTCGCGGTAGGCTTATCTTCTACGTAAAGTCGGCTATTTAACAACCCAGTGATAGCGAAATTTAGAAACAGTGTTTATGGCGCGAAATTAGCGTTCTGATAAAGGAGAACAAAAAAAAAAAAATGACCTTACTCGACGACATACAATGTAGGTGGTGATGAAATCGGCATGGCAGCCATGAATGTGTACGGGCAGCCTCCACACGCGCAACACGTGTACCTTCCTTCTTACTACCAGGGCCAAATGACCTATACCCGTAAGTTGTCTGTACTCTGTTTCTGTCACTCTTTCACATATCACGTGCCCGCAACATTTTATATTTATACATACATACATACATATATATGCATACATCAGCACATGGGTACGTAAATTAATCCCACGCATTGGATCATTCATTTTATTCTATTTCTTCTTTCTTTAAATTTCATTTACGGGACTGTTGTATCTTTATAAATTGAATTATTCGTAGTATTTCATATCAGAAGTTACATATTTTAGATTGTTGCATATTGAATGGGGGATTTGGGAAGATGGGAAGGCTTACATGATTTGATGACATAAAAGTAGCGTAAAATAACACGTATTGCATATCAATTTAAAGCTTCAATTTTAAGCTTCAAATTGATGTAACATAAGTGGTATTTTATTATACTTTTATGTTATGAAATCATGTTAGATTTCCTACAAAATTCGCTATTTGATCTGTGGCAACGTAATATGTCTTTTCTGAAATGTTATACTTAAATTGGTTTTCTGAATAATATACAGAGTGCTACGTAGAATTCGCAGTATAAATGAGAACATCTCATGTAAAAATAAATCGGAATTAATGGAATAAATTTTGATTTGTTTATTTAAGGCTTCATTTATATTATTTAATAGTTAATCAGCTAAAAATCAATATTACACTAATAAAAGTTGTTCATGAATCATTAATCGTAAGTAAATAGCGGAGTTAATATTATTATAGTTGATAATTTTAACACAAGTCGGAAACTGAAAATTTTAATTTTTTTAAATTAAAACCATAGAAAATGTTTCTTTAAAAAAATAAGAAACAAGTTGGTAAAACTTGAAGCTTTAAATAAAATAAAAAAGATTTTTCCATAAGTTCCATTTATTTTTGTACGATTTATTATTTTCTCGTTTGTACCAGGAATTCTACTGCACTCTCTATGATAAATCAATCCATGTCGAAATAATTGGAATATTTTACAATAATTACGGCCTCTTGGTTTAACGAGATACACGATTTTGTATTTTAAGTACGTTTCAACGTATTTTCATGCGTGGAAACATAAATACAGAGACATGCACAGACATACCTCTCCTCGAACCACTATTTGTTCACACTCTGTTTCGTTTACCATCCTTTGTCGCTCCATTTATCCTATATGTAAAATTGCAAACCTCCGTATCGTTGAAATGCCTGTAGTAGCTGTACAAAACCTTCTTCAATAAGATTTATCCTTTGAGTTTTTAACACTTCGAATAATTTGTGTTGTACAGTATATTTTAAATGCTATCGAAATTTAAGTATAATTACGTTTGAAACATTTAATCGAAACTTTGACCCTGTATTTGTAAAGAAGCCAATTATTTTAACTTGTTTTTTTTCTATTTATAGTTGAAAGAATAATCGTGAGTAAAGTATATTTTTTATTCGTGTTTTTTTTTATTTTTATACTATATGGAATTATAAATTGATGCTACATCAACTGAAAAATATTCAGTAGACATATGGAAGTTATTTTCGATGCTTAAAATTCAACGAGATCATTATCGCCCGTTCATTATTCGTCACATTCAAATTTCTCACAGAATCATTTATTATGTCCAACCGACAAATTTTATTCCATAATTACAGTGCACGCATATAATGAAGTATATTAAGGATACATATATTTGCAATATTTAAGAAATATACGAATTTACAAAATGAAATTAAAATTGGGGCTCTCTGTATGGTCCGCCGTCCGAGGGTTGATATAATTTTTAATCAAACTTTAATATTTTCTTACAAATATTATTAGAAAACAAATTTATTATTATCTCGCAGACTAATTAGAAGTTGAATGAAATTTGTATCCACAAGTAAATATAGTAACACCGTAAATAAATACTGGTTGGTCAGGCGTTCGCGTATTTGCAGTACGAAATTCAGAAAACGTCGCTTTAATGAAGTACGCTGTGTTACTACTGTTAATGCAATTTGCATAATAACGAGTCGTGCGATCATTATGCCAGCTGACAGGAACAGACCTAGGCTTGTGTGTTCTGTTTTGACGTATCATCCTCGTACCTATACGCATTTTACTTCAAGCTGTTATGCAACAGCCGGTGTGTGTCTTGTACCATATTATTCGTGCAGTTAGCCTAACCACTGCTTGCTGGCAACTGGCCAAAAACGATTCACGACCAAAATACCAGAATTTATATAACGATTTTGTTTATCATCCGTTTACCCTTTTTTTAATTACATATTTGGTGTCACGAATTTCGAGTTACAAATTTTAACCAAATGAAATTAATCTAATTAGTAATCAGTGGTATCTACCCTGTAGATTTTTTTCTGTACTAGTAGAAAAATTTTATTTTATTTCGATCTTCGTTTCTTGCATCCACGTGTATTTTAACTTGTTACCCAATCGTGGTTTCCACTTCAAAGAGAATATTCATAGCAATTCAAAATTCCTCATCAAAAATGTTGACAGCAGGGAATCTCAATGGTTGATGGTCTTGAATGAATGCACGCCAAATGTTTCTCAGGTATACAGCTAGGCGTTACAAAGCTGAATTGCGAATCTTTGTTTGATACACTTGACGATAAGAACCATATACCACAATACAAATTACGTATGTCAACCTAAGTGATATTCGTTTTCGAAGATAGGGGTTGAACAAGACAGTGAGGAAATGTTGATACGTACCCTTATCAACTCGAGCATAGTTACATTTGAATTACTATCCTAAAAATGCATCAAAATTTAGAATTAACTTACCTGGCGCCTTCTTCTCATAAGTGGTTCTAATTCAATGATCAGGGCTGTAAGGGTGAATTAATTTTTCATTTTTTAACACGTTGACTGCTTTTGACAGATCGAAGCTTTACAGATCGTAAAGCTTTAATTATTAGGAATAGAAATAATTAATTTTCAAATTTCAAATTTCAATTTTTCTATTTGCTATTTTACATTATTTCTATTGTTTCCATTTAATTATTTAAGCATGTGTAATTTGTGATACCACTCATTGATGACCCCTATGACATTCAACGTGTTAGAAGAACTCAATGATTGAAAGAGTTAAAAAGAGAATGAAAAGTGTTCATCTTGTTACTATTTGTAAAGATATCCTATGACATGCAGGATTCTGTTTCCCGACGATGCACTAAGATTATTGTTGACGGTTACCAATCTATTTTCGACCGTACGATGTCCTGAGTGAACCACTTCAATGCCAACAATTGCATCTTGGTCACGGTTCCAAGCGTGTGTTAAAGATAAAGAACTTGCAAACGTTCGGGATGTAAATAAAGTAGCGGAAAAGCTTAGAGGCAGCTACTATTATAAAATTGGTGATTCATGGAATGAGGTCACGTTTCTGTTAGGTGGTCTTGCGTCGAACTTCTATTAATCTCGAGGCAGTCGCTGTTCCTGACCCCGCCGGTGCTAACACGCGACCAAATAAACCGCGAAAGAGTAAAAAGAAAGAAAGAAAGAAGAGGCATTCAGGCTACTCGGTTAATGCAATTTAATAAATCAGATCTGATCAGGTGAATATATAGTCTTCGAGGTTGCGTAACGTGGACCTTCTCCAGTGACAGTGATACTCTGGAGTCGTTTCTAACAAAACGAAACGATTCAGTCGTTTTCGCCAACTTTGTGTCATTTTTTTTTTTCTTTTTTTAAGTGTACGAAGATACGTTGTGTGTGAAAGGTGAAGCTTGTCATCAATGGATGCGTAGCGATAACGTGCGCTAATTGCAATTCGTGCGACCTAACTCACACACCGTCCACGACCAATTGAGTCGGTGATGTAATTAGTCCTGTACGGTAGCGTATACCGTCAGTACATCGTGTTCACTGGGACCGAGTGCAAAGTTGCCAGCGGTGAATCGAAGTTTTCACAAGTAGTGCTCTTTTTTATATTTTCTCACCGTGAGACGTGACATTTATCCTTTCGACGTTGCGCGAAAACTGTTCAGCGAAAATGGCCAAGAAACGAGTGAAGAGGAAAGAATCGGGAAAGTTGGCGTGTTGCGGGTGTGCACGAAGCAGGAACAGCGACACTTTCTGTAAATATTCATTTTTCTTTTGTGATTGTTATTATGTAATTTCTGAGTGGTTACTGCTTCTGGGAATCACGTGAATGAATGTTGATTCCGGAGTAGGTTTCGTGTTTCTGTCGAAATTCCTTTGGTTTGATGAATTAAACTTTGCTCATTTTTTGTGGCGACTTTGATGGGATAGGAAATGGAACATTAATGAGGTGGAATCTAAAAAGGAAATCATTTTGAGTGTATTCTTCAGATCTTAACCCTTTCAATCGGTTCACATAGTCACGTCAGTTTTCAGTATTTTGTGGGACCTGTTAGACAAATAGTTTTCGTTTTAGAAAATTTTAGAAAAACGAATAAATTCATCTAATTTGAAGTTATGTCAGGTGCCATAAATTTTGTCAGTGCGTAATTACTAATTTGAAAAGTTAAAAAGTCTTTGCGTATTCATGGATCAAGAACATAACGTTACGGTGTCACTCTAGTACTCGTCGGTTTAGAATATTTGCCAGATGATCAAAACCTTGGCAAACTTTATTATTGTCGTCACGTGCATTTAATGTGTTTATTATTGCAGAGCAAAAAGTTATGACAAAGGTTTTTTAGTTTTTTGTTAATACGAACATTGAACCAATTTATGTATTCATATTTATTCAAGTTTATTAAAACTTTTAGTGCTTTTAGCAATAAGTATCGCGTAGGAATTATTATCCTTTTTTTATGGTTATTTATACTGATATAAAACAAGATAATGATTTTTTGAAACCTACCTGCTTATTTCATGATTATTACATGACTGTTTTTGCTATGACAGTTAATGTGTTAAAATCTGAAAAAAATGTGAATACAATAGAAGATGTTTCTGTGCAGTGTTCATCATATGTAGTACATTTAATGTGATAATCGAAGCTTATAAAGCGATAATGGAAGACCCGCCACGCGACATTGTTTTTACAGGCTTGAACATGTTAAGAAAGACTAAATATGCGCTCTACTCGAACGCTTGATAAGCCAATTAAATATTTAAATACTATTGTTAATACGTAATATTAAGTCCAAAGGTCCATTTAAGAGTTCAAATACCGTTATCGATTTAAACTGTTGTGTGTATCGATCTTTAGATCCACTAATTCAATATTTAATTACCAATAAAATCAGTAGTAATATTTGTTCAGCTGTACGTGATAGAGCATCGATCAAGGAGGGATTTCATTTTCGGATATTCAACTTATTTTGCATCAATATCATCAATATTCATATTGATTTTCACGATACGATTACCAGTGTTGCATATAATATATGTAATTTAAAATCGTAATTTTTTAATATACTTTAAAATAAAATAGGACTGAATCCATATAATTCCAAAAATGGTATAATGTACAGTATTGACCATAGTAGGCTCCCCCAGGAAAAATGGTAATGTCCTGCTTCTCCCCTCCTCCTCCCCCTGCCAAACTTCCCCGGATTTTTGGGTTCCCAAACTTCCCCCAGGTTTCCTCAGCTGTCACCGTAGACCTCCCTCTTTCCAGACTTCCACCTTAGGCGTTCCCGAGGAGAATGACCGATGAAAGGGTGGAGGCCCCATGTATAGAGGCCTGTGGCTTCCTACCACTTGCGTATAAACGTTTACGTATTAAAAATTATGTTATTTGTTTTCGAAATCACTTTAAATCTTAATATCGTCAAAATGAAGATTTTGAAAATTCCTACTTCCCCTCTAATACCATTTTCCCTAGAAAAGCATACTTTGCTCTATACTGTACAAACAATTTGCATAGTCCGAAAATATATTATTTTCTAACAAAAGAAGTGATCTATGACTAATTTCCTATCGACTGCTGCTAGCAAACGTGTCAAATCTATACGTATATATTCTACTTCGATAAACAGTTGAAACGCGTGCCAAATCAACTCCAGCACCCACCTCGATTCGTATTTTCGAATGCCGAAGCAAAATTAGATTACTAAGCAACGAAGACACGTCGAACGAACCGCGACCATGAAATTGTATCGCGTACAATTGTCGTAGTTCCGGTTCGGAGTTAACCGGTATACCGGTACGTGTCTATATCAGCGTAGGAAGCGCATTGCCTATTCGCGTCGGGAAACTTGAGCCGTATCGAAGCGGGATCATCTTTTGCTCTAGGAGTCGTGGTACGGTTCATTGGAACGTGTCAAAAGGTGTCAGTCCATAAATGACAGAACACGTCTACGGTTGCTTTAATTGACCAGCACGAGGAACGTGACTATGATACACGCTTGCGACATAACAATCAGACGGACGCATCGGTGACATAAGATGCGAACGATGATATCGCGAATAACTTGATTGGAGGGGCGACGATCAAGGCCGGCCAGTTTGAAATCACCTACGGGAAAAAGGATGATTTGCTGCTTTCGCGTTCTTTTCATGGGTTACCAGGTTTGTTCATAAACGCGGCCAGAGTAGACGCGCCTTACGATCGAACCTTTATTATAATTGTAAATGCACGTTTGACGTGACGCGAATCGAGCAGCTCTTTGCATTTTCATTAAAAGTGACAAAAGTCGAACGATCGTCGGGGAATCGACACCGTTTCGGGAAGTTTTCTCGCAGTGAGTGAGGATATTTTTGATAATCATGTGTGACGTGTGCTGTAGAATCAGGCATTTCATTGGTTTTTCACGACAGAGTTGATATTTCTTAAGAATTTATAGTTGATTTAATAGTCATCATCTGTTTAATGGGTGCTAAATATAGACTGACTTTGCATATCTAAAAAAGTGTTACGTGGGATTATGTACAACCTCATTAAACTCTGAACGTTGTGCATAAGAATATAGGCTTCCTTTGGAATAAACAAATTGTTGCACCAGATGTTTTTATTCATTTTTATAAACTGCAAGAACAAGTTTTATCTTTTTTGGGTCAATTTAACCCACATGGTGCACGGTGGTTAATCCTTGTACAGGAAGTCTAGGTCGATCGAGACCCAAACTTACAAAACACATAAAAGATATTAGCCTAAATTAAAAAGATTAGATTAAAATTGGGGCTTTCTCTATGGTCCGCCGTCCAAGGGTAAATAAGTTCTAGCTTGGGTATGAGTGACGCACCGGATGCGTCGTATACTTCAAATGGATTAACGAGGTGTTTCACCTTGGTTTGCGATTTTCAAGATCTTGTTCTCTATTTTTTAATAAGGAAACTATAATACTTTTTCCATCAGTGTTTATTGCGTACATTCAACCATATGTAAATAACAATTGTAAATTTTTTTTAAAGAAACATTATTTTGTTTATTTTTTGTGATTAGCAGAATAAAAGAAAAAAGTCGGTGATTAAAAAGAATAGCGGAACTTTGGAATTTAGTCATCAGTTTCTTTCACGTTTCTCGCACCTTTTGATCCACGATAGAACGCTCCCTTAACGCGGCTGAAACGTGACATAAACCGTGTCTCGTTGATTATGATTAACACTATTCTGGTGTATGACGTTCGCGGTTAACTGCATTCAACGAGATCAGGCGTGATTACACGATTAGTTTTCACAGGCGCTCGTGTATTCGGCAAGATATAGGTCACTGCCTATGAGGTCAACTATTCGTAGATAGAAGCAGTTTAGGAGGCTGTTTCGGAATCGTTTTCGGGATGGTGTGTCCTTGAACAACCGGTAAAATTAGAATTTTCGCGTTACAGTTTCTCCATGTGCTACCGTCTCCTAGCTGATCAGCTTCCTCAATGTTTCTATTAATTTTAGACGTTATTGATTCCAACCTCGTCGCGATCCCGAGATAACGAGTGACATCATTTGCAAACTGCTTTTGATACGACGTAATGATAACGGAAGAGATATGAGTGAAGGAAGGAACTGCGGTACTTTCATTAACACGTTAATTCACGTAGTATTATACAACGACGAGCAATTGTTTCTTAGGTGGTTAAAATTGAAAATTCATAAAGGCTGCAATTTTAAAAAACTGGATATTTAATCTTATTCAAGATTATTAATGTTTAGAGTGTATAGATAAGATAAGATACATACGTCATAGATATAGGTATTTAAATGAAATAAATGAGCATTAGCTGAGGAATGCAACCATGATTTTCGTGGAATATTTAGGTTTTTAGTAACAAATTCTGCAGCATTCGCTGTTATTGGTAAAACTATGTTTACTGAAACTCGTATAGAATTTTCCGATTGGTTATAAGGGTGGTTTTAGTTGAGCAACTCGTGTGCATTGGCGTAATTAGGATGGTCTAGATTCTCTAGCTTTACTTATCATACAATGTTAGTTAATTTCCAAATTTTCTAGCTTTAAATTCGCAATTTTGTCATTCCCGAGCTTTCAGTTTACAATTTTGTAATTTCCAAGTTTCCAATTTCAATTTTTCATTTGGTAATTTTCCAATTTTCTAGCTTTAAAACTCACAATTTTATAATTCTCAAGCTTTCAATTTACAATTTTCAGATTTCCAAATTTCAAGCTTGCAATTTGCTACTTTACATTGTTAATACACCTAATTAATTTTCAAATTAATATATTTTGATGAGGAAACTCCACCCTGACCCTTTATCCACTTACGCCAATGCTCGTTCACATATTTGTGTGATATTACAAACGAAATTTGAATGAAATGAAAATATCTTTTTACATGTGGAAACTTATTTCTGGAGATGATAACTCGTAACGTTTTTAAGATAGTGAACGAAACGATACGTTTCGCGTGTGTTAAGAATCGCTCTGACTTTATAGCGGCGCTACTCAACGTATGTAGGCAGTGAATTTGTAGGCTGACCATTTATTAGATAATTGTGCTCTATATTCTTGGCATATCTGATAAGGTATGTTTAAAGTTGTATAAGGTGATTGAATAACGGAGTTGATGTCAGTCTTGTGAAAAATGCGATACCGTTTATACGCGTTCGTTCCATTTTATACACTTTTGTTTCTTCGAATATTTCATTTCTTTATTTACGTTACCTGTTACTCATTATAACAAAAAGGTAACATTTCAGTATTATGATTATACGCGTAAACATGTTCCAATCATGGATCATTTATAATCATCTGTTACATGAAAACAGGAAATGATAGGTTAAAATTTATTCCAAGATTTTCCTGGTATCAATAATTCGCTTGATTTCAATTAAACAATTTCGTAAACTCGTGTATGTTTAACCATACGACACTTTATCTAGCTTTTTTTCAGCTTGATTGAAATTCAGTTTCATGGCAATGATTTTCTTTTTATTTGCAGCCTTTCATACCCGTTCACTTACGTTGATGCATCATTTTTTCACCAAGTTTTCATACTGTTCATGCAAGCTCAAAACAGTACTTTAGATTTTTACATTTCTCCTCCTGGTTCTTATCTACTCCTCCCTTTTTAATGATCACTATTATAAGTTGCTTTTCAAATTGATCATAGGTGAAGATCCGATGCTTAGCGACCAACAGCAATATCGATACATGACTGTTGACGATATGAAATCGATGGGGGATGATTCGATGCGTGTCAACGTGACAGACGACGAGAGAGACAATCGACATTCCGGAGGTAAGTTTCTCTAACATATTTATTTTGCAAGTTCTTTCAATATTTCTTCAAATAATTTAATTTGTTTATCAATATCTTCGTCATTTATTTTCTAAAGCCTAGTCTAGATCTACAGTACCCTATTACTTCCATAAGAATACTTTCATTTTCTTTTCTTTTTTTTCCTTTTACTTTCTTTTTAAATAGGACTTGCACTACTTTCAAAACTAATAGTTTTAAAAATAGATCTTCAGGATCATTCTACTGGGATAAATAGGATCAATGTTCACATTATTATGTTTTTTTCAATGTTTTTGTTATATTTAGAAAGGAATTGATTTTTTCTTACAATTATTCAATGATATAAATTTGAGTGCCTAAAGTAAAATTGATTTTGTACATATTATTGCATTAATTTGATTGATCCTAAACATCTTCCATTTGTTTATCTATCTATTTCTCTGAAATACGATGAAGTTTCTGATGCAAAGAGCACATGATTTCATAGAATGAATCAGATGTGTGTTCAAGGAAATACGGAAGAGATTTCAAGGCCAGCTTTAATTTCTTATAAGTGGAGTGCTGTATTTTTGTCCTTAGTGCGGTGGCGATTGTAGAATCGGGTTCAACGAGGTATAATAAAAGGTCATTCGAGATGATGGAAGGCCGTAAATTAATGAGTCTTGTGTTATGAAAGATACTATAAGTGTTGTCGTTTGCATGAATGCGTTGTGGTAGTCTTTATACTTATGTAATAAAAAGAAAGATTTACAGGTACTGAAAGCAGTATAATTTCCTTCTAATTGAAATTTATTTTCCATTTGCGAGCAATTCGTTTCTTGTACATTTTTATCAATTTTATATAAACGATATATGGAAGATGTTTAGGATGAATCTTTAATATGAAGTATAAAGTGTTTGTTAATAAACATGATTTATAGCACCAACCATAACCGAGATGATCACAAAAGAAAATTATCAACGTACAAATGCTGCCAATCTCAAACCAGATAATGTTGATATTAATAGGCACCCTGTACATGTCGGGTATGTATTCATTTGTGTTCTACTATTCTACAAACATCACTCATCTAACGGTATCTAAAACAATGATAGGGTAGGTTGTATTACTGATCTATGGCTATGTAATACTAATGGGAATAATATTAGGTTGTTGAATATCAGATGGTGAATTTCGAGACATAGGAAGCCTGATATGATTATTTAAATTTGAAATAATAATTGAAAAATAGGAGGATCTCGCCCAGGGTGACAGATAGGCAAAAGTCGATCCTGTGAATGCCTGATATGCTAATAATGTAAAGTAGCTAATTGAAAGCTTGAAATTTGAAATCTGAAAATTACCTATGCTTATTCTTGATAATTAAAATTTTGAAAACCAGTTTCATTGTGCCAGTCAACTTATTATCCTTGATAATTTTATGTTATCAAATCATATCAGATTTTCTATGTTTCAAATTTTACCATTCCACATGCAGTAACCTAATATTATCTTATTATAAAATGCAGGGCAAAATTTGGTATATTAATTAATGTATTATACAACAATTTCATAATTTCTATAAATATTATACAACTTACCCCACTGATGCATATTTGCAACAGTTTTCAAAATATCAGTGTTCATGTTAAACACTATATTAAATAAAAATAAATTTGAAATAAAATTGTCTGCAGCAAATTAGAATATATTATATCTGGTTCTAATCTGCAGAATTTACAGAAATGTTTGTACATATTTTCTAAATTTCTCTGATCTCTATCTCTTTCGTTGGTTGGATTTCTGAAATTCGCTTTACGATTGAAAGAAACTGCGGATCTGCACTATTCTTTGAACATTGTTTGCAGAGGACACGTAATATATTGCACGGTGAATTAAGAAACTGAAATTTCTATTTGTCAATTTAAATTTCCACTAACTGAAATTACCACGATGACAAAAAAGATGATAGAAAATGATGTTTATAATTTGCATGGTTTGTCTTAATAATTAATCAAAGCGCAACGTTTAAACGAAATGTAAAGAAAACTATGCACAGTTTAACAAGGGACTGAAAATTACAAAATGTAAATTAAATTTATCGGTACGCTTTAAAATAAACAGCGCGTTATTATATACAATTATTATAAATTTTTCATTCAATTTGAACTCTTACATAAAAACTATATTAATTAAAGTTCGCTATGATTCTTTAAATAGACGCGCAAATATTTTAATAATAAATCGTTTTCATGTATTCATAAATTACATAAGAGTACATAGAAGTCTATTAAAATAATAATAATAATAATAATGTCTCTGTCATGGAACAATAATGTTGTGTATTATAGTGTGACACGGTGTGTGTTGGTGAAAGATTCCTGCTATAATTAACCCTCTAGATTATTGGCTGACATATAATAATAAAGTGTGATACAGGATCGTGGGAATTCACAAGAGCTGTATAAATTCAGCTTCAATTTTCTATCTTATTGTATTTTTCAAATTTTAGTTGGCTTCAAACCCTCTAACCCTTTCGCTACTATAGCCATTTAATCTGAAGCATTTACATTGCAAAATAACAAATCTGCAATCGAATAGAAATTTTCATTCACGAACCCAAGCTAAAAATTTCTTATCAGAAATAAAATTTTCACTAAGAGAATAATTTTATTTATATTTTAATACTTTGATATTAATGAGTACAGTCAGTATCTACTTTGGGGGAGGGTGAGATTGGGTTACCACCGAAATCTAATTTACAAAACGCATAAAAAATGCACCATCTTGAATTATTGAGCAATAGGGAAGGATCTGGCCCAGGGTGACAAACGCGGTAAAGCCGTCCCTGAGTACAGTTACCGGCAAAGGCGACGTAGCGAAGGGGTTAAATAACGCAAAGAAATATATAATAAATCATAAACGATTTGAAAAGTAATAAAGTATTTAATAAGAAGACAGTGTAGCTGTTACGTTGAATACCGTAAGAGCTGTTGCCTTTAGCAGGAGATGTTAAGGTTGTTATGGGACATTATACGCAATAATTGACATAATTTACTGTTATATAATCGCGTGCATAATGAACACACAACAGCGTAACTGTCGTGGAACATTTTAAATGGAGCCAACGTGAATCAGATCAGTAAATGCGTGTTTTTTTGTTTTTCTTTCTAATCAATCTTCTGTATACACATCATGTCTCTCACAGCAAGCTATTTCGACCTACTACATTACTTTCTTTTAATTCTATTTAAGAATGTTCAGTTTAAACGTTTATGTAATCAGCCAACCAGCTAAACAAGAGGCAATCGCTTGGTGCCCCCGTTTACATCCTGTCTTGCTCGTAGAAAAACTAGATTATCTAGTAATAAGCATGTTGTTCTTGAAATATCTTTGGGATGAACGATTCTTTGACGGTGTTATCTGATTGGACCAAACCGTTCCCTACTAATACTTGGGTGGAGCAGATGAATTGCGAAACTGTGAGTTGTGATGCTAGATGGATAAATACTCTAATGATCTTCTAAGCGCGAAGAAAATTAAAACTCTGAAACAAAATTTTCTTTTATAACACATCGATGGTTATGATTCTTGCAATTTTTAGGTTCCTTTTTGTATTGATAGAATTTTTGAAAGTATCAGTTTACAATGCTGAGAAATTAATAATTTTTAAATTATTATTAATTATTTGCACATTTCATGGAATTTTTGACTTTTGCAATTTTAAATTCTTTTCTATATTTAACAACTAGAGCCGTGTTTGCTTATAGTAGCTTTAAACACGGCTCTGATGATAAAAGATTATTTATAGATCAGTAAATAATCGATACACTTTCTTTGGAAATCTAATTATCTAAGTGCTATATTACTACGTTAATACACTGTATACAATAATTATGAGGAATGCACTCTCAAGTGACGTATTAATTCGTTTTTCTCGGTTAATGGGTTAGAACATTAAGTGCTACGAGGGTCACCAGTGACCGGTACTAGAAATGTAATTTATTCGACTGATTAAAACAACGAATGAAAGAAAATTCTGAATTCAAAATAGCAGATTGAAGCATTAGATTACTAGATCAAATATTAATATAAAAATTCACATGTATAGTAATGTAAGTTATAACATTAATTAATAAGTAATTAATCAAGCGTAAGAATGCGTTCATCCATTCCAATGACGAGTTAATTTTGCAATTTCCATAGACAAGGTAAAATGATCATAGAGCATACAAAACAATAGTTTTCTTGTCTTCCATATACAATGGAGTCTTTCTTCGCGCTTAGTAGAACAGAAAACTTATTTGTTCATCACAAGTTACCTTTTCATCGTGTAGACCTTCGGTTTGAACATTCGAATGTTTTCCCCTTTGTATATCTTTAACCATATACAAGAGCACACGTGTTTTGCACGCACCTTTATCTGAAAATGTAGAATGGTTTTTCTTTTTCCGAGCGCACAAAACTCCCGTGATAAAGAAGCTGTGAGCAGTGCGAAATGCACGAGAACAAAGAAAAATACAAAAAGCATGCGCATGAAACGAAATTATTATCCATAATCATACTAGATTTTGTTCGGAGATCAGACCGTCCCTAGAGTCCTTAAACACATCGCTGGCAGCTCTTGGTACCATGTCGAAAGGACAAGGAATGTGGAGGGACAGGTACACCATGCCCTTTTTATTATTTTCCCTTTCTATTAAGTTGTTGCTTATCAAATAGCCAATTTTGAAACATAGAAAATCTAACATGATTTGATGGCATCAAGATATTGTTAAATGGCACTTATAGTGTATTAATTTGAAAGTTAAGGTTTGATGGCAGTTAGTACATAAATTTTTGATAAATATTTTAAATTTTTATTTTGAAACGAACCAGATAGAATTTGTTGAAATGTATATACATTAGTCTTTGAATGATGGTGACTAGGTCAGTGATGACCCAAACCTATGCAAAGGTGTATCAATAGTTTCATCAAACTTTAAATTTTGAATTGACATAGAATAAATGTTGTTTTTCGATTTTTTTATGTCATCAAATGATATCAGACGTTCTATATTTCGAAATTCGTCCTTTGATATACAACAACCTAATATATTTAGTCACTTTCTGTATAAACTAAAAAAAGCACACTGTATTTATGTAAAAGGTAGAAATATTATTTTAAAAATATTCATTAGTACGTCGTTAATATCACATGGTTTGAAGTTAATATAATTTTAAGTAAAATATCGAAAAAGTGGGAAAATTAACAAAGAAATTAAATGTTTAAATAAAGCATAGCATTAGGGAAATGTAAATTAGATAACGCTGAACTGAAATAACAATTTAAAAGTTACAAGTGTTCTTGTAAGTATGGAGAAAGAATCGTTCGTCCTTTAAATAGTTTAAATAATTTTAAATAGAATTTTCCCTTAGTGGCTGCTGCTCGTACAGTTGTTCCCCCGTTAAAAGTTTGAGCTATGTTTTGCATAAGTACCGAAATCTGTACATTATATATTATTAATTAACATATTTTTTCTGCAAGGTGAATAATTATTGCTTTAAAAGAATTTCTTTAACCCTTTCGTGTCGATAGTGGTACATTGTACACTTGCGATCGAAAATTTTATTATATTTACAAAACTGAAGTAATGAGATGTAATAAATAACCATTGAAAGGGTTAAAATAAAACAGCACAGATTTCGGGACAGTTTTTACGTTGCTGCCCTAATGTATGTCTTTTTTCCGCAGAGTGTGAGTGATGTGGCCTCGTTACGTCTCTACTATAATACATAATTATTATTGTTACTCCCTGTTTTATGTAGTTTTGTACAATAGACAAGTGGCTTGCGTGTGATGATTGCGGGTTTTCGAAAGATTCAATGAAAAAAGGATTATCGATCACGGGAATGAAAGAAAAAAGAAACAACGCGTATACGTGCTGATTAAAAAGTGTCAGAAGTATTCGAAAATCTGTAAAAGTTGCGTTAGTATTTAAATCTCGACACCATTTATGTCGTCATCTCTCATCACCATTATTATGAACGAATGGATACTAACGCGTTTTTTTATTTTGTTCCCGATCCTCTCTGTTATTTTATTTGCGCTACTCGCAGAATTCCACAGTGGAGAAAGTAAGTGATCTTCTCTTGAAATCTTAGCTTCTGCTACTTGCCGTACCGCGCTTCAATTTTCAATTATTTTCTTCGTATATTTTTGTTTTCTTTATAAATAGTTGCACACACTGCCCGTAGTCGCTGACGTTCGACATCCTTCAATGGAATGTAGTGCACAATGAATATATGATAATCAAAGCTCATAATTAATTATTATTTCGATTATAATTGTGTTCAGTGTGTCATTCCTTTGCACAGTCAGGTGATTTATGGAGGAAGAAATTGCATTAATACACATTCAAAAATATTATTAAATTAATTTTAGTATTGATCATCCAATAAGTATTTGAATCCCTTTTTAGATATTAGCTCAGACTTAGCTATATCTGTTCTAATAAAATTTTACATCATTTCAAACTTGCTTTCCAAGAACACGCACTATAAATTATTCCTTGAAACTTCAATCCCCACGAATGTACCATTTAATATTTATCAAACGTCGTATTTCATCAGAGCTGAAACCTATAATGTATTCCGAAAACAGAGTGTCCATTAAAGAGTATCCTTGCATCATCTTCTTTGAGTAATCTTCGTAGAATTTATTTGCAGTGTATTATTTTTAGACTCCGTAATGCATCGAAGAAAAAAATACCATGAAAACTACATAAGAATATTTCTCACGATTGTCAGTTAATGTTTTAGTGACCGGAAGCTTATTAACAAAAAATCAATTAACCAGACTTTTATAGTTAATTATTCATCCATTAATCAAGGAAGATAGTTAAATTTAACTATTTTGCTCGATTACCACATCCATCACGAATTTAATATTAGAAGTTTAAATTAAATTAATTATTAATATTAGAAAAAAATTCAAGAAAATTTAATGTGCAGTTAATATCCCGACGTTTAGAAGGTAATTATTATCTCTTTGCAAAATGAAATCAAATTTTAATTAGCAAAAGTTAGATAAGGTGTAAAACAAATGCAAATAAAAGATTTAAATATTCTGTGTTTGCATAGTATTGTTTTTTATATTCATTGTGCACACTCTTCTTGTTTGTGAATAATTCTCAGGTTCATTAAGGAACTTCACCCACCAGCACTGTCATCAGTTAATAATAGGAAAGGATTAAGCAAGTTTCAGCTGATTTTAATGGATTTTTTTTTATTACTTATAGTGCTCAATGTTAATTAGATTTTTCGCTTGCGGCCGTAAAATATCTGCGCAGCAAACCCCCAGACACGAAATGAAGCTCACAAACCGTACTCTTTCAATCATAGACACTCGGATTAAGATTTAATTTGCTCCATTTTTCATGTGACTTATCTTTGCACTTTAATTAATTTATTTTGTTTGATGTTTTTTTTACAGTTATCTTCATACACAGCGTTGAATCTAATGCAAAGCATAATAATTTCTTTAACAATTCAGAATCGATGTACATGAAATTGTTCAGTAAAATTTTACACAAAATTCCGAATAATTCCTCTGATTTCTAACTTTACGCTTTTAGTAAAAATTGACTATGAAAATTGCTTCTCGGCTTGCCGTGCTTTTGATACATATGAAATAACTCCATTACCTTTTTGAAACAGCCTTTCAGTATATTTCAATTAATAATGGATTAAATAAAAATTGTACAGGTTTTACGAGAACCCCATGAATTAGTATTGTCTATTCCTATACAATGTATATAGGATTGAAAAAGTTTTAAGGCTGTAAAAATTTTTTGAGAACCTAAATTAGAATGTAAATATTATATAGCGAAGATATTTATTTTTTTTAATTATAATTGGTTTAATTTAAGCAAATAGCATGATTATTTCCTGAAGGGCCAAATGTTCGCACAATATTCGTACACTCGTGCTGAGAAGTTATAGGATATCTGTTAAAATTTTATAAAAAAATATTGCAATTGTGAAAACATTAAAAAAGATTTTGTTTATTTTAAAATTACAGATCTATCTAATCATTTACTTAACACTTTATTTACCGAAAGCTTAAATAAGCTTTTCGACAGTATCAATTGTTAAAGAAACTCTAATTTATAATCTTTGTTGATTATTACAAATTCACACATAACTCAGTTGAAATAATGAAGCTTAGATGTACTTTAATTAAGGGGAAATTGAAAAGAAAGATTGCACCTTTTAATTTTTAGTTACTGTTAATTATAAGATGGTAGTAGATTTGTGGCTGGTGGATAAAATCATTAATAAATTTTTTTGTTCTCCATATTGTCAGTATTAAAGATTACCTAAACGAGTAAATGTCCTATGACTTTTGAGCGAGAGTGTAATAGAGCTGAACAACTACCTATGAGTACGTGTCCGAATAATTAGCCCCCTGTCCATGCAATGAACGCTGTTATGTTCAAGTCTGTCAACATATTATAACGCTCCCAAACGATCAGACTCCAAACTGTGACTATAATTAATGTTATTATGTAAACGACAGCTTCCTGGTTTCCTTTCTGGTGGATGCACGAGGTGGTGCAATGCGTGGCTGCAGACACAGCGGTGTTCGTGTAATCGTTCCTCCTAGGAAAGCCGCGATGCCGATGCGTGTTACGTGCAGATATTTAAGGAGGGATAAATTGACAAATCCACCCCCTTTGATGGAAGGCGAAGCTCTGGCCAGCCGTATTCTCGAACTTGGACCTGTGGGTGCTAAATTCTTGGGGTAAGTAACACTGTACACTGGACTCTATTTATGGCAACAGAGGAATTAATAATATAATCATTTTCATCTTTTAGCCCTGTCATCATAGAAGTACCACACTTTGCTTCACTGCGAGGAAAAGAACGAGAGATAGTTATACTTCGATCGGATAATGGAGAAACTTGGCGCGAACACACCCTGGAAGCCAGCGAGGAGGCTGTCCAGGATGTGCTTAACGAGAGCTTTGAAGGAGAAGGTATAGCTTCTTTTTTGTAACTCTGGGTACATGCGGTAATTGCGAATTATTTGGATACGTTAATTTTCCGAGTGTATGCAAATGTGTTTTTAGAATTAAGCCAGCTCGAGGATCTCCAAACTTCTCGGATCGTAAGGATACTCACTGCAGACTTCCCACATTATTTCGCGGTAGTGTCTCGTATTAGACAAGAGGTCCATGCAGTTGGTCCAGAGGGTGGCACAGTCTCTTCATCTGCTGTTCCACAAGTCCAGGCTGTCTTTCCACCAGCAGCTCTTACTAAAAAGATCAGAGTTGGTCTGCAGGTACATACACCTCATCCTTTCATATCTGAGCAATTCCCAGGCCAAAGTAATCAATTCCACTTTTTGAATCTGTTAAAATTTCACTGCCATAATACTGGGTTGATACTTAAATTTTTAAATTTTATTAATTTCTTTACCTCTTTTTTGGAGTTAATCAATTTGTCGAATAGGCGATTCATTTCTTGATCGACTAATGTTTTTCTTGAGATACACCCCAGGGATTAATTCTTTCTTCTTTAACACCTTGTTTAATTCAGAAGAAAATCATTTGTATGTTTAGGCACATCCAATACCGGCGGATCTCGTAGCCAAACTGCTTGGTAACCGAGTTGCAGTGTCACCAATTGTAACAGTTGAACCAAGGCGAAGAAAGTTCCATAAGCCAATAACTTTAACCATACCTGTGCCGCAAGCAGCCAACAAAGGAATGATCAATCAATATTCAGGAGATGCACCAACGTTGAGACTCCTGTGCAGCATAACTGGTAATATATGCTTGCACGTAATATTGTAGAGCAGCGTACCGTCTTACTGGAGAATCTCTTACCGATAAGCGCTGAAATTGTTACGCCGCAAACACACCTTTGGTGTATTTATATACATACGCTCTTATCAGACTTCTTACGCATTCGAAAATCAATTTGTAGTTTAGTAGGCATGGCGCGGGGCGGTAGGCATCTTCGTCTGTTCTCAGGTCGTCGGGACTACGTTGAGTGTACGATGCGTCTAAAAGAAATGCATATCATGAAAATAGGAACTTTTATATGCTAAAGGAAATCAAAGGTCTAGTACGATTTTGCAATCTGTGACAATTCATCAGACACACATGGCAAGCTCCAGATTACAAAATAGTAGAAAACTTTCAAGTTGACAATTTTCATGATATACATATATTTCTGTTTAGATACCCTGTATACGAGTTTGTGTCGCGTCAGAACCCACTTGCATTATTATAGTTCACATACAATTATAATTTGTACGCACTGCCAGAAGTAATGTTTCAATGTTAGAAGCAGAGCTGGGTAGATTTCAAGTAGTATTTGAAGATTTGTTTTATTTCACTTTCATTGAAAAGTTTTTGTTTGAAATACTATTATGTTATACCCAGCGCTGGTTAGAGGAGACGAATAGCATTTGTTTTGTAAGTTTAGTATTATTGATGTTTCCAAAGATATTCCGAGGCATAAGAAGGTGATACCTTGGTGAACGTCCCGGAGACCTTCGGATAGAGATTTAAAAGGGAGATGGTAGCTGCATGTTTCATAGAAACATTTCGTTGAGTACTATTGTTGTATACATATCTTGTTGTGATTCATTGTTAATGCTTGCATATTGTTAGGATTGAGTCATTTAGGTATGGATTATTAATTAACGTAGATAAAATTTTACTACCTAGCTCATTGTAAGCGTTAACTTCAAAGTTTTTGTTTCAGCACATTCGTTTGACTGGTAACCGCTTCGATAAATTAGGCTTGTAATTTTACAAATTTCTATCAAATTGTGTTCCCGAAATATATGTATTTTTAGATTGTTACATGATGTATATCATACGACACGTTACCGATACAAAGACTGACATTGTTATATTTTTCAATGGTATTGTTTGTTACAGCCACGCTGTTTCCTTTTCTACTATTCTTCTTTCTTTTTTCAACAAAAATATTTTCAGCGTAAAATATCGATTTTTCTTTTTTCCGAGGAAGATCTTGTTATTGATACCGAAGTGTGGAATATGTTATTGAAATTTAAAATATTCGATACGACCAAAAACAGGAAGATATGTTTTCGACATGCATTGCGCCGCGTTTTAATTACATTTATTTCACACCTATTCTGTTTCTTTAACGCTTACTTATCATTCTACGCATAATCACGAGCGCGTCCGCTTTCTGCGCGAATTTTTTGATGAATGACGCTTTTCATTTCCTTTTGGCAAGCATTATCATTCGATCAGCGTTTATTTTCTTTTACATTACTCACACACACGATACAGCACTTGACATCTACGCACCTGTGGTGACCGATATTAAGTACAAATATAATAATCAATTTATCATAACGAAGAAGAAATCAAAGCAATAGTTCAATTTTATTTTTCTATTCTTTTTGGTCAGTTCGCTTGAAACAATAAATCTCATTGTGTCCATCAATCTAATTGATACTTTGAGCCTGACATAAATGGAACAATTCAACATTATCAACTATAATAAAAATGAAAATTTAAACAAGGTCAATGATAAGATAGAAGAAGTGAGTCAAGGATAATTTTTACCAGTGTAATACAATTGTAACATATTTCTGAACCCTTTGATTGTATTTAAAGCTTTTTATAAGCTTGTATTCTTTTTTAATTATTCTTTGTGTTATATTATAAATTTTGTTATTTCTTCATAATCAAGGGGTATTTAAGAATGGTGGGCTTAAAGTGTCGAATTGTAATTAATCTCGGTCGCATTGGAATAATATCCCACACAGTTCACTTCTGCCGATTCTCCATACGCAGCACGGACATATTTTAATAATGTTATTGGACTTGGTATGTATGTCGTTCAGGGGGTCAGTCTCGGGCAGTCTGGGAGGATGTCACAGGTTCAACGCCGCTGACGTTCGTTAAGGATTGCGTCTCCTTCACCACCACTGTGTCGGCTCGCTTTTGGTTGATGGATTGCCGGAATATCTCCGAGGCCACGAAAATGGCAACAGAATTGTACACACACGCGACACATGTACCCTTCATGGCTAAGTACGTTTCCTAGTATCCTAACCAAAGGAGATGTCAGCTGCTACTTGACTATCGTTTTCTTTTCACATAAACGCACCCAAACTAGGATATATGTTCTAGTTACAATAGCGTTCATTTGTGAAAAGAAAACGACTCTCAAGTGGTGGTCGGTATCTCTTTTGGTTTACGTACCGGGAGAATCACTTCTTGCACCGAGTTCTAAATCGCCTGATTAATTTTCCTGGCAGGTTCGTAGTATTTGCAAAACGAATAGATCCTCTGGAAGCAAGGCTACGCGTCTTCTGTATGACCGACGACAAGGAGGATAAGACTTTAGAAAACCAGGAACACTTCACGGAAGTTGCGAAAAGTCGAGATGTCGAGGTAAGACACCTAACAGAGTTATCAGATGAGAGACCAAGGATATGCCAGATTTGTCATGTTTTGCTGAAGAGATAATTATTTTTTTATTAATGTCTGTGTTGCGTTTGGAATTATTTAAGGTCCTGGAAGGCAAGACACAGTACATGGAATTTTCGGGTAACCTAGTGCCAGTATTGAAGAGCGGCGAACAATTACAATTACCGTTCAGAGCTTTCAAAGAGAATAGAGTTCCATTCACGGCGAGGATAAAGGATCCCGATGCGGCCGACACTATGGGTCGCATTATGTTCATGAGCGAGCCGAAGGTTCCCAAAGGCGAACTACCGCAGACACCTATATGCACGTTGCATATTTTGTTGCCAGAAAAGATATCTCCGGAAGCTGCGGCTTCTGAGGTGGATTTGCTCGAACTTTCAAAGAATTACAGCTTCTTACGTGACGGTGGCATAAGTACGTGAATCGAAGAACGAATTATGAAACAACGTAGAGGAATTATGTAAATTTTGAATTATTACTTCAGGTCGTCCGGATGCAATTCATAGAGCGACTATACGGTTGACTGATATCGCGAATTTGTTGGACAAAGACTGGGAGAAACTCGCGGAAGAATTAAATATCCCACCGAACGAAGTATCCACGATTAAACAAGAATATTCTAATAAACCAGCTCAGCAAGCTGCAGCCATGCTTAAGATATGGCAGAGCAATGGAAACAAAGCTACAGGTAGGTGTTAGATGCAGATATATTATATTGGGTGCTGGGTTGTTTAGAATTGGGTTTTGAACTTCTCAGAATTAGCTTTTGCACTAATTCAGAATTAAATTTTGCAATATCCAAAATTACGTTTTGCATTGGTTTGGAGTTAAATTTGGAACTCCTCAGAATTAGGTTTTGCACTGATTTAGAATTAAATTTTGCAATATTCAGAGTTAGATTTTGCATTAGCTCAGAGTTAAATTTTGAACTCCACAGAATTAGGTCTTGGACTACTCAGAGTTAGACTTTATACTACTCAGAATTAGCCGATAGACCGCTCAGAATTAGATTTCGGATTACCCAAATTATTTTAGTCCAAAGTTAAGTTAGATTCTGGACTGATTTATGTTACATTCTTGACACCTTAGAAATAGTGTTTGTATTATTCACAGTTTGCTTATCTTTTATCCACATTTTTGGATAATTACGAAATCTCCCCAATAAGCAATCAAAGTTTGATAGCCAATTTTAGCAACGAAATGCCAATTCCCGTGAGTTAACATTTCAGATATCTTCTATGACGCAAGTCAAGAAATGGAATCATCAGTCACGTTATTTACACGATAGCAATACATTAATTGTTATTGCATCGAAGCAACTAAATTCTTCCACTTGAAATATTTCAAAAATTCTTTTATCCTTCAAACAATTATTATACATCCGCATGATAAACTCAACGTGATTAATACACTAAACGAAGAAAAATATTATTAGTAAATGTAGGTTGAAAAATGAACGTAATTGTAACTAAGAAATTAGTTCCCATGCCTTGAATGCGTCAGATCTAAGATTGACCATCGGATAGTAGAACAACTATTATCATCCTTATCTATCTTCAAAGATACATTTTCGAGATACGAGCGAATTCTTCCAATTACAGTAATTTGCAGCTTAACTCGTTTCTCTTCCATTGTCGTAGCTATATATAGATCTCTGATTACATTATCAATATTGTATTTTGTTGTTCCCTCGTTCTCCATTTTTACGAGTCAATTTATCAATGACTTTTATTTGTTTCGCGCGCGACGCATAATCTTCGTCTCATCTTGAAATTAGCATAAGCCGCTGGAAAAATAAATTACGTTTCGAGGCAGACGCTTAGATAACAGGTGTTTAGGTCTAGTAAGCGGTTAGCGAAATTAAAAAAGAACCTGTTTCCATGGCAAGGCCAATTAATCAGACAAGAACGTTTGACTAAGAAGCGTGGAATCTGAAGAGCAACGTAGTCGGTGATCTCATCCTGCATTATTATGCCTGACATAAACCTATGGACTCCTTTCCCCCTCCTTTTTTCTGCCAATACTAATGACACTGACACACCGCAAGAAATGCACGTAGCACATCGTTTACTGTTCTGCAATCGGTCCAAACAAACAGAAGTGCTCTCTAGATTGACAAGAATATAGTGAAAGTGATTGTACAATTTTCGGCTGTTTTTCGATTCCTTTTTATCCAACGAGGTGTCTCGTTCATTTATTTATTGTTTTATTCTTGACGGGGCATAAAGATGTACATATCTTTGTATCAAGAATATCAGAACGAAGAGACGAACACGTACGTCAGCGAATTGTCACTACTGTTCAGGAGATCCTCTTGTCAGAGATGTCAGATTTCGATGAGCTCAGGTGTGTAGAGTTTGAAGGACGATCGTTATCAATGAAAAATACGTCCTCGATGATTCCATAGAATGACATAAATGTAAACAGTAAATTCGTTTTGCAATTAAATAATTCTTTGGAAAAATTTAATAAGAGATTGAATTATTGAGGATGCACTTTGAATGCATTGACTTTTAATGATTTGGAAATTCAAAATTATTTATGTGCAAAAAGGAGTTTGTTATATAGGTGAGGATTAAATAAAAAACACTGAAATTTATAAACGAATCGTTGCATCAGAGTTATTTTGCAGTTATTGCGACGAAAATATTTTGCCGACGAAGTGACAATTTTTCTTTTTGTCATTATATTTGATTTAGATGAAATAGCTTTTTAAGTTGCATAATCATTATTTTGGTTTTTATATATTATGCAATGATTATTATTATTCATTTAATTGCTCAATAATATATTTAGAAAGTATGACAAATTAGTAATAGTGTTTTAACACACGACAGCTCATCCATAATTTTAACTTAATAAATTAAAAGAGCGAAACTGAAATTAATTATATACTTGTACGAAATTTGAAGAAGTTTTATTAAAATAAAATATTTATGCGCGTGTGTATAGGGAATACTTTGGAGAAGGCGTTGAATAAAATTGGTCGGGAGGACATTGTAAAGAAATGCATATTTAACGTGGAACTGGTAACGGATGATGTAGAAAAAGCAGTAGCCAGAGTTCGATTAGATCAACCAGGATTTGATTCATTGAAAGAAGAATTAGGTCCTTCAAGGGATACTTCTCTTCGCCGTGACGCGACGATGGATCCGAAAATGGATCCTGATTATGACGAATTTAATAAAACTAAGGTTTGTACCTTTAATATTGAAAAATAACATTTCTTTAATATTCACTGTATAAAAATTGCCTAATTAAAAAACAAAAAATTGTTATTCTTTCAGGAATCTGGATCAATCGAGGACCTCAATATTAGTGGCTCTAAGCGAGATACACGTATGTATTTCAAAATTTTATTCACCTTATTTTTGAAAATTAAATATTCAATATAATAAAGAGTATACATTTGACCGATTACGACACTAGAAAGGATATATGACATCATTACTAGCATTGTTACTGTGAATAACACGCCGGCTTTAGTTCGTGTCATTGCTAAGAAAAATAGATGAAATCAGAGGTTTCACCTCACACTTCTTGGAAAGCACATTAATATCATCGCTGTATATTTAAACATCTGTGTGCGTAGTATAATTTTAATTGCACATTCATACATTTCATCCGAAATGATTCAATAAAATTCCGTATAAACATTATTCATTGTACTGATACAGAAGGTTCATTGTACAGTAACGAGCATACTGAATACTTTCTCGAGTTTCAAGGTTCTTAAACTTCCCTGTGGGCTTTCATGAATTTTCAGATTTCAGAGTGTATTAAAATAAAATTGTTTTATGTCATACAGAGCTTCTCTGGGACTGAATTTTCTTATACTGATCATTCGTTTTCTCAGGAAAAATGGTGATACGTTTCCCTCCCTCTGTTTCTCGGATTTCCGGGTACTTCACTTTCCCCAAAGGTTTCCTCGGGTTCTCGGTTTTTGGAAGTCGAGGGTTCCGAGGTTTCTGGTCCTCGCTATCAACCTTCCATTCCCTAGACTTCCGCTTTTCTCTTTAGACGTTTTTGTTGACAGTGATAATGACAATGTAGGGGAGGAGGCCCCATATGTATATAAGGGCCTTTTTCTTCCCTATAACACCATTTTCCTTAGGGAAGCCTACTATGCTCGATACTGTACATATTTGTATTTATAATGTTTCATTTGAAATAATTTTATAATTCAACAGGGTATTTTAAAAAGATCATATAGCATAAAAGATATACGGATTTTCCACATCAAAACAAATCGAAAAGTGTCTTAGCTTAGTGGAATTTATGATCTTGTTTTTGAAACTGAAGCAATTACAAATTGGGTATTCAATTTACGGGGCATTGTGTTTAAATCCTAAATGACTAAACGAACGAAAGATACCTGCTCCTATAAATAACAATTCCGTTTTTTACGTATTTTTATTTTATACTATATTTTGCACAAAATAGCGCAAACTGCAACTTCTTAATTAATATTCATCATAATAAACTCTTCGATTTTTTTCGTTATGGGAAATAGACATGTATAGTATTTAATCATCGTTTTGCGTGCAATTCCATATTGTATAGCAAAGGGTTAATATTCTGTTCGCGTGCTTCAACCAAAATACGTACATGTGCCTATTCAGTCACGCTGTTTAAACCACGTGTTTCTTTTTTTGTTGCACCCGACAGCGAAACAGCATGTCACAATCACAAACGGCACTGTATTCAACGGAACCTCGACCCCCATCAAAGATAAATACGCAAGCGACGAGAAAGAGCTAGGGGATGTAATGGCCGATTTTCTCGAGCACAAATGTCACGTATCCGATACGATGAGCAAAAAGTCACGCGACGAAATAGACGACGAGGACAAGAAACGACAGAGGGTGATCGCAGATGCCAACAGAATAGTTTCCGGTAAGTAATTTCAGCAATTATAACGAATAAAAAAAATATGGTGGGTTGAGGGGCCGTGCTTCGGCTAAGCTGCAAATAGAAATAATTAAAAAAAAAAACAAACCTAATTAAAAAGCGCAATTTTGATCGGATATCATCATTTACGATATCTTAAAGAATCAGCAATGGCAGCATGATCTATTTAATGCGATAATCACGCTTGGTCTTAGGACAACAACTTTATATTAACCATTCGTCGATAAAGTTTAAGTCACTAGTGCTGAATATTTTTTATTTTCTACTTCAAATTTCGTTATTTTTACCTTTATTTTTAGTGATATCGTGTTCGTAGTTATAGTATACTCTTGATCAGATCAGGCTTTCCTAAGCAAAATGGCGATAAAAGGAATGCAGAAATTTTCAAAATAAACTAAAAGTCATTTAGAAATAAAATAATATAATTTTCAGTTATTAAATATTATAACATTTAGTATATAATTGCCAAGAGTGAATAACAAGATAAATATTAATTCAAATTTTTCCGTATAAACGTTTATATGCAAGCGGTGGCCTTCCCTACACTATCATTCTCCTCAGGGACGCCTGAGGGGAAGGTGGGAATCATCATTTTCCCTAGAGAGGCCCGATTCGATCACGAGTGTTCATCACGACGTGCAAGCAAATATAGCAATTATCTTCGTATCTGAACTATCTCCAATTTTTATTTAACTATTTTTTCTTGTATTTCGATGATTAGATTTTGTTATTTAAACGAATGAGTCAGTGTTTTAATTATTCATAAATTAAAATTGTATTTTGATGCAAGAAATATTAATTTATCCAGTAGTGATTAAAGTAGTTAGTTTAATATTTTAACTAACTAAAGATGTGTTTGTTTTTGTAAAAATAATAATTCAACGTGTAGTGATCATTTAGACTTACGTCAAATTTTTAAATATAACAAAACATGACAAAAATCTTTCCATAGAAGAGAGATAAATTTTATTATGATTTTTATATCATGCTATTTTGTTTGCTCATTGTTATTTAAATAAATTTATTTTGTTATTAAACAGACTACAAAATTAAAGCTGTACAGAAAAAGAATCTTTAATGTTATATTATTTTTAATCTTTATATTCTTAAATGTGATCAGTGTATAACAACGCAAAAGCTTGTTAATTAATTTTCAAGTCCTTCTTGTAACAAAACTCTCATAAGTACATTATATTTATAATTTCAGCTTTCTTCCAAAAAATAGCATTCTGTGCTCAGCTCTATTACGACTTTACCTGTCTATGTATATATTACACAACACAAATTCGTGATGTAGTAAATTAAAACATTACTTATAATTATTATTATTATTTTGAAAGCAATAACATTTATACAATGTTTCTTAAATACACTTTGTAAATTAGAAATTTTGTGAATTTTAGAAGTGTAGTACGGCATTGTTTCTGGACACGATTCACACGTGTGAAAATTCTTAATTTTATAGAAAAGAAAAAAAAAGAAAAAATTGTGGGCACTAGAACAATTACTTCTTTTACTTTATCATCGTTTACTTTCATTCACAGGTTCTGGAGGGCTGATGCGGATCTCTTCAAACTTATCAGCTTGCTTTTATTTGAATTAAAACATAATGAACCATTTAATTTCTTTTTTTTGGCTATCAATTACATCTCATATCTACTGTACTATATTTGCCAGCTCTGTGTCTTCATTTAATGACCCATTAATTGCCTTCTGTTACTACGACACTTCCTACTAATTTGTTTCAGCAAGGTTCCGCTGCAATTTTTTGGCGTTGCATGATTGGCCAATATGTGTGGCCTAATTTTGCGGACGCACGGAGCAGCTGTCGTTGTCATTCATATTTTTTTCATGATTTTCATTTAAACTAAAACGTTTGAACGTTAGAATGATCAGTAATGATAAGTAGTAATTTTCCAGGTGTCATTAGAACACAATTAGTTCAATTAATAATATTCTCTAGTCACAATTATTTTATATTAATTAGTATTCTGTCTTAATTAACACATTGATGGCTGCTGGTGACTCGCGTTTTACTGATTTCTGTTTTTAATTTGGAAAGTAGTTATTTTGCAATCTAAAATATAATTCTAATAATAATAATTTTCTATTGAATACTAAAAAGGAACATAAAATTTCAAAATTCATAGAGTATACAAAATGTGCAGTCTTCAAAGTGTTGGGAGAGAATTTATCATTGATCATCAATAGATGTTTTCCAACTATATTTATCCTTCGTTTATCTTTCAAATTATTTTCTTATTCTCGTTTGATATGTAATTAGTCGTTAGATAGATGGCTGCTCCACACGTACACACGTTCACATACACATACACATACTCTGCGCCTAAACCGCACGAGAGTCTAACCGCTGTTCTAAAAAAAACAACAATGAGCAGTATCGAGCGAGCCGGCTTACACTAATGATGATGACGAAATGAAATTAAAAAAAAAAAAAAAATCAAAATGTGTTCTCTTGATTTTGCCACGTTTACAGATGCCTAAAATATGTAATACTTAATTAACAGGTGTAATAGCAGACGCTGAGAAAGAGAAGGGGAAGTTAGCGAAGGAGGGGTGGTCGGTGGTTTATGATGATGATGATGCGCGGGGCAATAAAGAGGCAGGAGGTGCTGTGATTCAGAGTTTTGTTAGGGAACAATTCAGTGACAAAGAACAGAAAGATAAGGGCGGAAAGTTGGATGAAAGGTATAATGATAAAGCACCGGTCGTTGAACCGATGATGGTTAAACAACGCTACGTTCGCGATGGGAAGGGCGATTCGAACGTTACAGTAATTAAAACTAAAACTATAGTCACGATGAGTGATGACAAAGGAGGTCAGCCACCTGTGATCACTCAGACTATCATAACGAAAGAGATAGACGGTACGGTACCTAAAGAAATAGTGACAGTTTCAAATGGCAAACAAATTCTTACAAGTAAGAAAGAAATGTTGTCTAAAGAAGGTAAGGAGATCGATGAAAAGACAACAGATGCCAAGAAAGAAGGAACCGTCGTTAAAATTAACATTCCAGAAGAAGCTAAACCTGTCACTGATAAACAGGTGTCCGCTTACGAAAGCGTCTACACTATTCAGTATCCTTCTGGACAACCCGATGAGAAACAGGAGGACGAATCGAAGAAATCGAAAGACAAGAGTGGTGGTATTCTCTCTGGAATTTTCAAAGGGTCCAAATTGAAGAAGAGTAAATCTAAAGGATCGAAGGACACTTCCTTCGACAGCGGTGACGAAGAGGCTAAAATAGTCTCACCAACAACTACGGAACAACAAGTTCCACATACAGTTACTACAATCGAGACGGTGACTGTGACACCTGCAGAGAGTATTGCAGTACCTGATGTAAAGGCAGCTACGATGCAGTTCTTAGACGAATCGAGGCGTGTTGCATCCCAGATGCAACCATTGCCTGAAGTAGATTCTAAGAAAAAAGAAGATGCAAAAATGGTAACCAAGGAACCAGATGTAATTGTGACCAGTGATAGTAGCGATCAAGAGAAAGAAAAAAGTGGTGGTTTCTTTGGAATATTCAAGAGTCCAAAGTCGAAGGAGAAGAAGCTGAAGAAGACCAAAGAAGCGTCCTTTGACAGTGGCGACGAAGAGCTAAGAATTGCTACAGAGAAATTCTTAGATGACACCAAGAAAATTGCTGACACTACTGTCACATCCTCTGTATCCAAAGATGGCACACAAGAGTTGATCACTTTCACCTCTCACGTGCATTACGACGAAGATACACCTAAGGATAGGATAAACGGGCATTCCTATGATATCTCGGAGATTCAGAAAAAGTCTGAAGCGAGTAGAAGCACTCCTCACAGGGAGATGAATGGAAAATCTGACGCGAAGAAAGGGAAAGAGACTCCTCAGAAGGAGAGAAGCTTGGAGAGATCTACCGTCTCTCCAGATAAGACAGAAGATGAGAAGGAACAAGAAGAAGGTAAAGATAAGAGTGGCGGGTTCTTCAGTATGTTTAAAAGCCCGAAGCTGAAGAGCAAAAAGCGAAGCGCGTCGAGGGAGAAGAGTTCCTCCAAGGAAACCTCCTTCGACAGCGGAGACGAAGAGACGCGGCAATTAACTGCTACTTTCTTGGATGATACTAAGAAAGTTGCGAGTACTATGCACCACGAAGAGCCGAAACAAGGCGTCGAAATTACTGTACAGCAGACAGACGTGAAAATTCCTGAGGCAGAGTATGCGGAGAAAGATAAAGGAAGCGGAATTCTCAGCAAATTCAGAAGTCCCAAATTGTCCAGAGAATCGCGAAGCAGATCTCGCGAAAAGCAGACGGTGCAAGAACCAGAGCCGAAGGTAGATAGTACCTTGCGAGAAACAACTGCGAAATTCTTGGAGGACGCGAAGAACCTCGCGAGTCTAACAGTAGAAGTACCAAGTAAGGTGGAGGAATCGGCAAAAGGCGCAAAAGCTGAAGTGAAAGAAGAAACCGAAGCGGCGAAGCAGAAGGTTTCTTTAGGAATGGATGCATTTGTAGAGAGCGTAGAGGAAACGAAGAGTAAATTATCAAAAGAGGGCAAGAAAGCGAAGGAAAAGAGCGGTGGTTTCCTCTCTGGTTTGTTCAAAGGTGCGAAACACGCAGCTGACGAAGTCTCCGAAGACATTAATGAGACGATTGACGAGGCTAAGAAAGACGCTGCTCAAGAAAAAACACGCGTTCGTGAAGCAGTAGCAGAGAAACTGGATGACATCGATGGAGTAAAGGATAAAGCGGCTGAAGGCATGAAAGATGCAAAGAATAAGACAGTGACTGTTATAAAAGACACTAAAGAGACAGTGACTGTTATAAAAGACACTAAGGAGACAGTGAGTACGAAAGTGTTCAAAGGTATGAAGAAGGTAGCAGATACTGGCAAGGCTGTTGGGGATAAAGTAGCTGATGAAGCGAAGCAAGCTAAAGAAGCTACAGATGCTGCAGCTGGGAAAGTTGCAGATGAAGCAAAAGCAGCGAAGGAAAAAGCAGCTGCTGATATGAAAGATGCTAAAGACAAAGTCACAGTAGCTGTGAAAGATACCAAGGATCAGGTGAAAGACAAAGTATCTGAGGGTGCGCAGAAGGTAGCCCAGTCCAGCAAAGATGCTGCAGATAAAGTGGCCGACGGAGTAAAAACTGCAGAAGCCAAAGTGGAAGCAGCAGCCAAAGGAGTAGCTGACGGTGCTAAAACAGCAAAGGACAAGGTAGTTATTGAAGTTAAAGAGGACACTGAAGCTGTGAAACAGAAGGTGTCCTCCGGAGTAGACGCTGTTGTGGATGGTGCAGCTGCAGCAAAGGATAAGACTGCGAAGGAAGCTAAGAAAGCGAAAGAAAAAGCAGGCGGCTTCCTATCAGGATTATTCAAGGGTGCGAAACACGCTGCAGACGAGGTTTCGGAGGATATGAAGGAGTTCGTGGACGAGGCAAAGAAGGAAGCTGCTGAAGAGGAAGCTCGTGCTCGAGAAGTAGCAGCACAGAAATTAAAAGAGGTTGATATAGCGAAAGACAAAGCAGCTGTTGAGGTTAAGGATGTAGTGGGCAAAGCTGCAGGAGCTGTGAAGGAAACCAAGGACAAAATTAGCGACAAGGTTTCTGATGGTGTCCAGAAAGTGTCTGATGCAAGTAAAGATACAGCTAAGAAAGTAATAGTTGAAGTGAAACAGATTGGTGAGAGAGTGGATGAAACAGCAAAGGATGTAGCTGAGGGTGCGAAAACAGCGAAAGATAAAACAGTTGAAGATGCGAAAAGTATTAAAGAGAAGGTTAGCGAAAAAGTGACAGACGCAACGCAGAAGGTATCAGACACTGGCAAAGCAGTCGGTGATAAAATGGTGGAAGGAGTTAAAAAGGCAGAAGAAAAGGTAGAAGCAACAGCCCATGGAGTAGCTGACGGTGCTAAGGCAGCGAAAGATAAGGCAACCAAAGAAGTTAAGGAAGATGTTGAAATTGTGAAGCAGAAAGTTTCTTTAGGAGTAGATTCTGTGGTAGACGGTGCAGCAGCAGTGAAAGATAAGGCTGCAAAGGAAGCTAAGAAAGCTAAGGAAAAGAGTGGCGGTTTCCTTTCGGGCTGGTTCAAAGGTGCGAAACAGTCAGCAGACGATGCGACAGAAGAAGTTGAGGACTTCCTGGAGGAAACCAGAAAGGAGGCAGCTGAAGAAGAAGCACGAGCACGTGCGGCAGCTGCAGAAAAACTGAAGGATGCTGAAGCAGCTAAAGACAAAGTAGTTACTGATGTGAAGGATGCAAAGGATAAGGTCGCCTTCACTGTTAAGGATGCCAAGGATAAAGTCAGTGGAAAGGTTGCTGCCACAGCAGAAAAGGTTTCAGATACTGGAAAGGCTGCAGCTGAAAAAGTAGCAGATGGTGTGAAACAAGTGGAAGATAAAACAGCTAAGGCTGCCCATGAAGTAGCAGACGCTGCTAAAGCTGCCAAGGACAAAGCAGCTGAGGATACGAAAAAAGCCAGCGATAAAGTTATCACTGCTGCAAAAGACACAAAGGACAAAGTCAGCGAGAAAGTCACAGAGGGCGCACTAAAGGTATCAGCTGCTGGTGCAGCAGTTGGAGGCGCAATTATAGGTGGAATTAAAAAAGCCGAAAGTAAAACAGAAGCAGCAGCTCATGACATAGCTGAAGGTACAAAAGCAGCAAAAGATAAGGTAGCTAAAGAGATCAAAGAAGATGCTGATGTTGTGAAGCAAAAGGCTTCGTCAGGAGTGGATGCAGTAGCAGATGGAGTAGCTGCAGCGAAAGACAAAGCGGCGAAAGAAGCTAAAAAGGCTAAGGAGAAGACTGGTGGCTTCCTTTCCGGATTGTTCAAGGGTGCAAAGCACGCAGCTGACGAAACTTCAGAAGAAGTTAGGGAATTCGTCGATGACACGAAGAAACAAGCGGCAGAAGACGAAGCCAAAGCACGTGCCGCTGTTGACGAGAAGTTGAAGAGCGCTGAGGCAGCTAAAGACAAAGCTGTTGCTGATATAAAAGATGCGAAAGATAAGATTGCATCTACCGCGAAAGATGTTAAGGACAAGACCACTGGAAAGGTTTCTGCGGCTGCACAGAAGGTATCAGATACTGGAAAAACTGCAGCTGATAAAGTAGCAGACGGAGTAACACAGGTTGGTGAAAAAATAGACGAAACAGTTACAGGAATAGCAGATGGAGCAAAAGCTGCTAAGGACAAGGCAGCTAAAGATGCTAAAGAAGCCAAGGACAAAATTGCTACAACCGCGAAAGACACCACAGAGAAAGTCAGCGAAAAAGTGGCAGATGGTGCACAAAAAGTGACAGATGCTGGAAAGGCAGTTGGAGTTAAAATAGTAGACGGAGTTACAAAGACCGAAGAGAAGATAGAAACAACAGCTCATGGAATAGCTGATGGCGCTAAAGCAGCTAAAGACAAAGCGGCAAAAGAACTAAAACAAGACACTGACGCTGTAAAACAAAAAGTTACATCTGGCGTAGACACTGTAGTAGATGGAGCAGCCGCAGCGAAAGACAAAGCAGCAAAAGAGGCTAAGAAAGCCAAAGAAAAGACCGGTGGTTTCCTTTCGGGTCTCTTCAAAGGTGCCAAGCACGCAGCTGACGACGTATCAGACGAAGTTAAAGAATTCCTAGATGAAACTAAGAAAGAGGCTGCTGAAGAAGAAGCTAGAGCACGTGCGGCAGCTGCAGAGAAGTTGAAGGATGCTGAAGCAGCTAAAAACAAAGCAGTCGCTGATGTGAAAGATGCGAAAGATAAAATTTCCTCCACTGTTAAGGATGCCAAGGATAAAGCAGTAGAGAAGGTTGCTACTGCTGCCGAGAAGGTTTCAGACACTAGGAAGGCTGCAGCCGACAAAGTAGCAGATGGTGTGCAACAATTAGAAGATAAAACAGCTAAGGCAGCTCATGAAGTAGCAGATGCTGCAAAAGTTACGAAAGGCAAAGTAGCCGAAGATGCACAGATGGCCAGTGAAAAAGTTGCTACTGCTGCGAAGGATGTAAAAGACAAAATGGCTGCGGATGTAAAGATGGCAACTGATAAAGTTGCTACTGCTGCGAAAGATACGAAGGACAAAGTTGGTGAGAAAGTGGCAGAAGGAGCACAGAAGGTTTCAGATACTGGTACAGCAGTTAGTTATAAAGTAGTTGACGAAGTCCACAAAGTTGAGGATAAAGCTGCGGCAACTGCTCATGGAATTGCAGAAGGTGCTAAAATGACTAAGGACAAGGTTGCAAAAGAACTTAAGGAAGATGCTGATGTTGTAAAGCAGAAAGTTTCATCTGGCGTGGATGCAATAGCAGGTGGGACAGCAGCAACAAAAGATAAAGTTGCGAAAGAAGCTAAAAAGGCAAAAGAAAAGGCCGGTGGCTTCCTTTCAGGACTATTCAAGGGTGCTAAGCATACAGCAGATGATGCTTCAGACGAAGTTAGAGACTTTCTGGATGAAGCTAGAAAGGAGTCAAATGAAGAGAAAAGTAGACTGCGCACAGCTGCTGCAGAGAAACTGGAAGGCGTGGAAACAGCAACAGACAAAGCACTTGTTGATGTAAAGGATGCGAAAGATAAAGTAGTATCTACAGTAAAGGATGCCAAGGATAAAACCGCTGAGAAGGTTTCTGCGGCTGCGCAGAAGGTATCAGATACCGGAAAAGCTGCAGCTGAAATAGTAGCAGGCGGTGTAAAACATGCTGAGAGTAAAGTAGAAAAAGCAGCTCATGAAGTTGCCGATGCTACTAAAACTGCTAAAGGTAAAGCCGTCAAGGATGTAAAGGAGGTCGGTGACAAAGTTGCTACTGCTGCGAAGGATACAAAGGACGAAGTCGAGGAAAAAGTGGCAGAAGGAGCGCAAAAGGTATCAGATACTGGTAAAGCAGTTGGGGATAAGATACTTGATGGAGCAAAGAAAGTCGAGGATAAGGCTGCATCCGCTGCTCATGAAGTAGCAGACGGAACAAAAATGGCGAAGGATAAGATAGCAAAGGAGATCAAAGAAGATGCCAACGCTGTAAAACAAAAGGTTTCATCTGGCGTGGATGCAGTAGCAGATGGAGCAGCAGCAACGAAAGATAAAGCTGCGAAAGAAGCTAAAAAAGCCAAAGAGAAGGCCGGTGGCTTTCTTTCAGGACTATTCAAAGGCGCTAAACACGCAGCTGACGATGTTTCAGGAGAAGTAAAAGAATTTCTAGATGATACAAAGAAGGAGGCAGCTGAGGAAGAAGCTCGTGCTCGTGCAGCAGCTGCGGAGAAGTTGAAAGATGCTGAAGCAGCTAAAGACAAAGCAGTTGCTGATGCGAAGGATGCGAAGGATAAGATTTTCTCCACTGTTAAGGATGCTAAGGAGAAAGTCAGTGAAAAGGTTGCTACCACTACCGAGAAGCTTTCGGACACTGGAAAGGCTGCAGCTGAAAAAGTAGCAGACACTGCAAAACAAATTGGTGATAAAGCGGATAAAACAGCTCAGGAAATAGCAGACGCTGCTAAAGCTACTAAAGACAAAGCTGCTGAAGATGCAAAAGAAATTAAAGATAAAGTGACAACTAGCGTCACGGACGCTAAAGATAAGGTGAGCGAAAAAGTGGTCGAAGGCGCCCAAAAAGTATCAGACACTGGCAAAGCAGTTGGTGACAAAATGTTGGATGGAGTAAAGAAAGCTGAAGACAAGGTAGATTCAGCAGCTCACGCAGTAGTTGACAGCACTAAGGCAGCAAAGGACAAAGCAGTCAAGGAGATCAAAGACGACGCAGATGCTGTAAAGCAGAAAGTTTCTTCAGGTGTAGATTCAGCTGTAGAAGGTGCGGCAACAGTGAAAGATAAAGCAGCTAAGGAAGCTAAGAAAACGAAAGAAAAAGCAGGTGGTTTCCTTTCTGGTTTATTCAAAGGAGTGAAACATGCTGCTGATGACGTGTCTGAAGAAGTCAAGGAATTCGTTGATGACACAAAGAAGGAAGCAGCTGAGGAAGAAGCTCGAGCCCGTGCTGCAGCTGCAGAGAAGTTGAAGGACGTTGATGCAGCCAAAGACAAAGCTGTTGCTGATGTAAAAGATGCGAAGGATAAAGTTACATCTACAATGAAGGATGTTAAAGACAAAGCTAGTGAAAAGGTCTCTACTGCTGCACAGAAGGTGTCAGATACTGGAAGAGCTGCAGCTGAAAAGGTTGCAGATGGAGTGAAACAACTTGAAGACAAAACAGCTAAGGCAGCTCATGAAGTAGAAGACGCTGCTAAAGCTGCAAAAGACAAAGCTGCGGTAGATGCCAGCAAAGTTAAGGACAAGGTCGCCACTGCTGTAAAAGACACAAAGGACAAGGTCAGTGAGAAAGTCTCGGCAAGTGCACAAAAAGTATCAGATACTGGTGAGACGATTGGAGGTACGCTAGTAGACGGAATCAAAAGAGCTGAAGAAAAGGTAGAGACAACAGCTCACGGAATTGCTGAAGGTGCTAAAGCTGCAAAGGATAAGGCTGCAGAGGAAATCAAGCAAGACGCTGATGCTTTCAAACAGAAAGTTTCGTCTGGCGTCGATGCAGTAGTAGACGGAGCAACGACAACCAAGGATAAAGCATCAAAAGAAGCCAAGAATGCCAAAGAGAAAACTGGAGGTTTCCTTTCTGGCTTATTCAAGGGTGCGAAGCATGCTGCGGACGATGTGACAGGTGATGTCAGAGAATTTCTTGATGAAACTAGGAAAGAGGCGGCTGACGAACAATCGAGATTGCGTGCAGCAGCTGCAGAGAAATTGAAGGATGCTGAAACAGCTAAAGACAAAGCAGTTGCTGATGTAAAAGATGTCGAGGATAAAGCCGCGTCTGCAGTGAAAGATGCCAAAGACAAAGCCAGTGAAAAGGTGTCCGCCACTGCTCAAAAGGTAGCAGATACAGCAGGTGCTGCTAAGGATAAGGTAGTGGAAGATGTAAAGGATGTTAAGGACAAGATCGCTACTTCTGCAAAAGACGCAAAAGACAAAGTAGCTGACAAGGTGATTGAAGGTGCAGAAAAGGTGTCAGATACTGGTAAAGCAGTTGGCGGTGCTGTCCAAGATGGCATCAAAAAGAGCAAGGATCAAACTGAAACCATGCTTCAGGATGCAGCTACTGGCATCAAGACTACAAAGGAGAAAGCAGCGAAAGAAATTAAGGAAGATGTCGAAGCTGTAAAAGGTACGGTGTCGTCTGGGGTAGATTCAATGGCGGAAAGTGCAACCTCTGCCAAAGATAAAGCAGCAGCAGAGGCTAAAAAAGCAAAAGAAAAGGGAGGTGGTTTCCTGTCAGGATTATTCAAAAGTGCAAAGCATGCAGCAGATGAAATCACAGAGGATGTAAAAGACTTCGTAGATGAAACGAAGAAAGAAGCAACCGAAGAAGAAGCGCGAGCTCGTACAGCTGTGACAGAAAAGGTGAAGGATCTTGATAGTGCGAAAGATAAAGCAGCAGCTGATATGAAGGACGTGAAAGACAAAGTTGTTACCACTGTTAAGGATACCAAGGATAAGGCGAGCGAAAAAGTATCTGAGGGTGTTCATAAAGTATCAGATAGTACAAAAGGTGCAGTTGAGAAGGTCTCTGATGGCGTTAGGCAAATTGAAGAAAAAGTTGACGAAAAAGCGCAAAAGGTAGCTGATGGTGCAGAGACCTTGAAAGATAAAGCTGTAGAAGACGCCAGTAAAGTGAAGGATAAGGTCACAACTGCAACAAAAGACACAAAGGACAAAGTTAGTGAAAAAGTGACAGTGGGCGCACAAAAGATATCAGCCGCTGGTGCAGCAGTTGGAGGCGCAATATTGGGTGGAATTAAAAAAGTCGAAAGTAAAACAGAAGCAGCAGCTCATGACATAGCTGAAGGCACAAAGGCAACAAAAGATAAGGTAGCTAAGGAGATTAAAGAGGATGCTGACGTTGTAAAGCAGAAGGTATCATCAGGAGCGGACGCAGTAGTGGATAAAGCAGCTGCAGCAAAGGAAAAGGCAGCGAAAGAAGCTAAGAAAGCCAAAGACAAGGCCGGTGGTTTTCTTTCTGGATTGTTTAAAGGTGCAAAGCACGCGACCGACGATGTTTCAGGCGACGTTAAGGAATTCCTTGATGAAACTAGAAAAGAAGCAGCTGAAGAGGAAGCTCGTGCTCGTGCTGCAGCTGCTGAGAAACTGAAGGATGCCGAAGCAGCTAAAGACAAAGCAGTTGATGATGTGAAAGATGCGAAGGACAAAGTTGCATCAACTGTAAAGGATGCCAAGGATAAAGCCAGTGAAAAGGTTTCTACTGCTGCACAGAAGGTGTCAGATACTGGAAAAGCTGCCGCTGAAAAGATAACAGATGGTGTGAAACAAGTTGAGGACAAAACAGCTAAGGCAGCTCACGAAGTAGCTGATGCTGCTAAAGCTGCTAAGGACAAAGTAGCTGAGGATGCAAAGGTAGCTGGTGATACACTTGCCACTGCTGCAAAGGATGCAAAGGACAAAGTAGCTGAGGATGCAAAAACAGCTGCTAATAAACTTGCCACTGCTGCAAAGGATGCGAAAGACAAGGTAGCTGAAGATGTGAAGGGTGTCAGTGATAAATTTGCTACTGCTGCAAAGGATACAACGGACAAGGTAGCTGAGGATGCAAAGACAGCCAGTGATAAAGTCGCTACTGCTGCGCAAGCAGCAAAGGATAAGGTAGCTGAGGACGCAAAGATAGCTAGTGATAAACTTGCCACTGCTGCAAAGGATGCAAAGGACAGAGTAGCTGAGGATGCAAAGGCAGCTAGCGACACAGTTTCCATCGCTGCGAAAGATGCCAAGGACAAAGTTAGCGAGAAAGTAACAAAAGGAGCACAGAAAGTATCAGATGCTGGTAAGACAGTTGGTGAGAAAATAGTCGAAGAAGTCCACAAAGTTGAAGATAAAGCTGCAGCAACTGCTCATGGTATAGCGGATGGTGTTAGAGCGACGAAGGACAAGGTTGCAAAGGAACTTAAGGAAGATGCTGACGTTGTAAAGCAGAAAGTTTCATCTGGTGTGGATGCAGTAGCAGATGGAGCAGCATCAGCAAAGGACAAAACAGCCAAGGAAGCTAAGAAAGCTAAAGATAAGGCTGGAGGTTTCTTCTCTGGATTGTTCAAGGGTGCAAAGCACGCAGCTGACGATGTTTCAGACGAAGTTAAGGAATTCCTTGATGAAACCAGAAAAGAAGCAGCTGAAGAGGAAGCTCGTGCTCGTGCTGCAGCTGCAGAGAAACTGAAGGACGCTGAAGCAGCGAAAGACAAAGCAGTTGCTGATGTAAAAGATACGAAGGACAAAGTTGCATCATCTGTAAAGGATGCCAAGGATAAAGCCAGTGAAAAGGTATCTACTGCTGCCCAGAAGGTTTCAGATACAGGAAAAGCTGCAGCTGACAAAGTTGCTACTGCTGCCCACAACGTCTCAGATACTGGAAAAGCTGCAGTTGACAAAGTAGCTGATGGTGTGCAACAAGTTGAAGACAAAACAGCCAAGGCAGCTCATGAAGTAGCAGATGCTGCGAAAGTTACAAAAGACAAAGTAGCTGATGATGCTAAAATGGCCGCCGATAAAGTTGCTGCTGCTGCAAAGGACACAAAGGACAAGGTCAGCGAGAAAGTAGCAGGAGGAGCACAGAAGGTATCAGACGCTGGTAAGGCAACTGGGGAAAAAATACATGATGGTGTACAGAAAGTCGAAGATAAAGCGAAAACAGCCGCTCACGACATAACAGACAGCGCTAAAATGACCAAAGACAAGGTAGCAAAGGAGATTAAGGAAGATACTGATGCTGTAAAACAGAAAGTTTCATCTGGTGTAGATATCGTGGTAGATAGTGCAGCTGCAGCAAAGGATAAGGCTGCGAAGGAAGCTAAGAAGGCCAAAGAAAAAACTGGTGGCTTCCTTTCAGGACTGTTCAAGGGTGCTAAACATGCAGCTGATGAAGTATCAGGAGAATTCAGTGAATTCCTAGACGAGACGAAGAAAGAAGCAGCTGAGGAAGAAGCCCGTGCTCGCGAAGCCGTGTCGGAAAAGATGAAAGACCTCGACGCAGCTAAAGATAAAGCTGCAGCTGACATGAAGGATACGAAAGATAAAGTTGCTATTACTGCTAAGGATACCAAGGACAAAATCAGCGAAAAATTATCCGATGGCACTTATAAAATCGTAGATACTGGAAGGGCCGCAGTTGAGAAAGTCGCAGACACTGCAAAGAAAGTTGGAGATAAGGCAGATAAGACAGCTCAGGAAGTAGCAGATGCTGCTAAATCAGCAAAGGACAAGGCAGCTGAGGATGCTAAGGAAGTTAAAGACAAAGTTGCATCTACTGTAAAGGACACTAAGGACAAAGTCAGTGAGAAGGTTCATGAAAGTGCACAGAAAGTATCAGACACTGGCAAAGCAGTCGGTGACAAGATGTTTGATGGAGCTGAAAAGGCGGAACTCCAGGTTGAAATGACAGCTCACAAAATAGTAACCGGCACTAAAACAGCAAAAGATAAGGTAGCTAAAGAAATCAAAGACGATGCTGAGACTGCAAAACAGAAAGTAGCCGCAGGAGTGGATTCAGTCGCAGAAGGGGCAGCAACCATGAAAGACAAAGCAGCGAAAGAGGCTAAGAAAGCTAAAGAGAAAGGCGGTGGCTTTCTGTCAGGCCTATTCAAGGGCGCGAAGCATGCAGCAGATGAAGTTTCCGAAGACATGAAGGAGTTTGTCGATGAAACGAAGAAGGAAGCTGCTGAAGAAGAAGCTCGTGCCCGCGAAGCAATGACTGGACACCTTATGGATCTTGACACTGCTAAGGATAAAACTGTTAGCGATATCAAATCCACCAAAGACAAAGTTGTAACTGGAGTAAAGGATACCACAGAGAAAGTCACTGAAAAGGTATCAGACACCTTGCAGAAGACATCAGATGCTGGCAAATCCTTTGGCGAAAGAATTGCTCGTGAAACAAAACGCGTTGAAATAAAAACAGAAACTACTGTTCGAGACATAGCTGGTGGAGTTAAGGACACAAAAGATAAGGTTGTTGCTGATACCAAGGCTGCTGCGAAGGATACCAAGGAGAAGGTCACAGAGAAGGTAGTCAAAGGATCGCAGATGATTACAGACGCCGGTAGAGCTATCAGTGACAAAGTCATCGATGGTGCAAAAGGTGTAGAATCAACTGCTACAGAAATAAAAAAGGATATTTCATCCGAAGTGGACATAGTCGCAGAGGGCGCTAAGACGACAAAAGACAAGGCTGCAAAGGAAGCGAAGAAAGCGAAGGAAAAGGGCGGTGGTTTTCTCTCCGGCCTAATCAAAACCGTGAAACATGCAGCAGACGAAGTTTCAGGAGATGTTAACGAATTCCTCGACGAAACCAAGAAAGAAGCTGCCGAAGAGGAAGCCCGAGCTCGCGAGAAAGCAGCGGAAAAGATGAAGGACGTTGAAAAGGCTGCCGAGAAGGTTTCTACAGACGCGAAAACAACTAAGGACAAGGTTGCAGTTGGTGTGAAAGACGCAAAGGACACTGTCAGCAAAAAGGTGTCAGACGTTAAGCAATCTGTCGGTGGTACCGTTCAAGGAGTATCTGATAGTGTGAAAGCTACGAAACAGAAAGCTGTTTCAGTTGCCAAAGATGGCAGCGAAAAAGTAGCCACAGGTGTATCAGACGCTGCGAGATCTGTTGCTGTAGAAAGTAGCAATATCAAGAGTAGTATGATGGATTTCCTGGAAGAAATGAAAAGGGATGTTGCATCGGACAAGTCAGGTTTCCAAGGGAAACCTGACGATGTTCACATATACGAGAACGTAAATGTATTCAGCAAAGGATCGATACCCGAATCGACCAGTTCAAGAATCGAAAAAGGATCGAGATCAAAGATCGATACTTCTCCAACTTTCGTTACAAACGACCCACTTTCTGACCTCAGTTTCGAGATACAGAGTAGATTGACCGAGACGAGTAGAAAGGAGGTCGACCATCCTGAATCGAAATCGACGAAGATATCTCGCATTCCACAGAAAGTTAGTTCCTCGAAAGACGCAAGGATTAGCCCGAGTAGCTCAACGGATAGTACAGTTAGGGTAGTTAACGTAATTAGCGAAGTAGAGCACCTCGAGCCTCACACACGACAGACCGTCACCACAGTCGTAAGAAAGTCTGTGCGGACGGCAGCGACCCCACCACCCAGTCCCGCCGAGTTCATTGACAGTAGAATCGAAGGTATCTTGCAATAATTGCGTTATACATATTACATACCAGCTGTGTGTAACATGATTAATTAAGTTGACGCTTTTCTATAACTTATGTTTTTTGGTAGTCGTACCAAAATGGCCCGAGTAAGGTCATTGCACTATGTCATTCGTAATGAATTCTAACACCCTGATATCAATCACTCTTTAGTGTACTAATGTCTACTGTGATCTTTTATTAAAGCAACGACACTCTGAACCTACTATAAAGTGGAACAGTAATAAATTATCTCTTTTTGTTGAAAAGAAAAAAAGAAAAGAATTAAATAATAATTATTCATCGTTGTAAACGATCACTTTATAGTATGATTATTTTCGAATCAGAAGAAGATCAACCGTAGCGAAGTATAAAGGCGACACGTCTACATTATTACTATTTATTTGCTGTTCTTATTTTCAGTTTGTGCGTTTTTTAACTTTTTTAACAATTTTATTTGATGCATGTTTCCAGGATTTTATATGCTACTTCCTATTTTTTTTTCTCTCTATCTATCTATCTTAACATTAATATTTATCCACGAAGAAACGTTTTATTGTACATCGACATTGAAATTGTCAGATTTATTTGTCATTACTCGTTTCTTTTTATTTATAGCGTAATATAGACGTCATATGTTGTTATTTGTTATACGATATATATATATATTATATCTTTGGTATATATATCGGTGATACGTATATAAATATGAATCATTAAATTAACAGGAAACCACAACTAGCGAAGCATGAACCGAGGTATGACATGCAGGGATACATCATTCATCTAATCTTTGTCAGATCATTGCTTTCAATGTTAATCGTGTCGTTTCCGTTTCCTCTAATAGATGTGTTCAAATACTTTTTCAGATGTCACTGAAGAGGCCGCAAGACGAGCACAGACTTTAGCCGATCAAGCGTATTCGATGTCGAAATCAGGTAACGTATGGTCAAGAAGAGCATAAAATCTCACGAAAAAAAAAGAAAAAAAAAAAGAAAAAACACAAAATCACAGGCCGAAGATCAATATGTTAGCAGATTCTATTTTGGTGCCCTCATTTATATTTAGCTTTATCTTCCATAGTTAGCACCTGCCGACGCTTTCACACTAATATTGTGCGCACGTTTCTTACTAAATAGTTACCTGTTCTTCATAAACGTTTGAGTATGAAAATACACAGGAAAGCTTTATATTTTCTATTTTTTCAAACAAACGCCAGTTTCAATTAAAAATTAAGTAGCCTGATCAAATTTTAATCACTTTCACAGATTCTCTTCACTGCCAATGAACAATTCATTGCTTTCAATAAATTCACAAAATTCACGCTTTAAAAATTTCTATGGAGAAGAAAAAGAAAAATGAAATTTTTCTAAAATTCTGTTTGAATCGAACTGGATTAATTAATTTCTTAATGGTATATTTTAGTAAGATTCAGGCGCCACGACTAGACACCATTTAATTGAGTGTTTCTTTTTGATAAACATACTAATCCTGTTGCAGTATTGATACTAACTAAAATACTGAATGTAGAGGTGTGCTGCACATACACACACACGTAAACACACACAGGCATAATATCATGCGATATAATATGCATGCGTGTGTCAGCCAGACGCGAGTTAACGTGTGTATGCGCGTGAACGCACGCGCGCATACACACAGACACACACATACGAAACGCGTGTACGAGGTCGAAAAGAGAACAGGCTGAATAATTCAGTCCAACTGTCGTCGCAGCTGGGCTAGAGTTGAACAAATTCTTAGTGTGTATCAATGTGCTTTATGTCCTTGTTCCTGTTCTTGTCCATGTCCTTTTGGATGGGTCAGGGCATGATTCGGCTGAGATTGATGGGACTGTAGAGAGGCATGCTACTTCTGCTCCAACAAAGCAATCTGTTCCCGCCCCGCGACACTCCACCAGGTCGTCCATCAAAACAGACTTTCATCTAGACCTCGGCGACACCTCGTGCACGCCGTACAGTCCGAAGCATAAGAAGGAGGAACAATCGCCGGAAAAGAGCAGCCCTAAAAGTAAGATACCGGTGAAAATAAAGAAATCCATGGATAACGAAAAGACGGCTAGTAAAACGATCACCGGAACCGATGTACATAAGACGACAAAGCTAGACAACGAGGATGATGAAAGGAATGATGTTATAAAACAGCCTTCGCCAGAGAAACAGGTCCAGAAACCGGAAGATTCTGTAAAGACTGAGCTGTCCAGCGAAACGTTCACCACAATGACGACTAGGACAACCGCGTCTGCTCTAGATTCCGAAACCCTTCAGAAAATATCTGGAACCATAGAAAAGATCGAAACCGTGACCGTAACTTCAAATGAAGATCCAGTAATGGATTTAACGAGACCCGATGAATTGATAACGAGAGAAAGTAAGATATTAATGAAAACTTTAGCGGATAATGTCGTGTCGACGGAAACCATAGTGAAAACGGTCACGACTACTTTGTGCACCACCATGGAGACTGGCGGTACCGATCAGATGGAACGGATCGTGCGGACTGTGACTACCAGCGGTGACTTCGGGGATATTCCTATACCTACTCTGAATCAACTGCATGAACGCGACATGTTGCCTCTGGGTATCGAACATATGTCGACAAAGATAACGAAAAGTATCAGCAGCGAGGCGTCCGAGCCATGGGCGCACTCGTATCTGAACGATGAGAAGGTTGAGCAATGGGAGAGCCAGCTCTCCCAAGACACGTCGCCCGGTTCCGGTAACGGTGACATTTACGCAAAGAACGGTAGCTCACGGAACGATTTAAACAGCGACACTGACAGTGACGGTTCGCCACGACCGAGAAGAAGATCTCCGAGCAAGAGGCGTACGTTGGGCAGTTCCAGCGGGTCTGATGTAGCGCTGCACGAAGGTGCGGAGCTGTCCCCGTTGGAGGACGACCAAGGTACCTCACTCACAGCTAACCTTCTAAGTAAGCAATGTAAATACTCCCGCTAAAACCAAGTTATCCGAGAGACATGAGCTCACATCCGAGAACGTGATTTCTTTATATCCGTTTATTTTAGACGCTTCTATCATGGTACGCTTATTTTTATGTGCATGCTATCCTGCGCACCATTTTCTTTCGTTTCTTTTACGTATTTTGCTGTTTGCTTGGGATTTCGTTGGCTACAATTAACCCTTATTCGGATAGACGCTTTCCTGGGGTCATTTTTTAAACACTTTACCGGCTGTCGCCAAGTCAGCTGCATATTCCCTATCAGCTTAAACGAAAACACGTCGTTAATAATGACTTTGTTGATTTGTCGTGCAAGAATGTATACGATAAGCACTAGTTTCGTAAAATTTGAATACTTTGATTCCGATTCGTAAGCGTTGGCCTTGAAAATCCGATTTGTTCGGATCCCGGTCGGTAAAGTGTTAAGTACCATTTTGGTAAGTGCAAACGAATTTCCTTTGAAAACAGGACGAGATTAAATGTATTAAATTAGTTTGAAGATTCAAGGGGGATCGCTATGGACCCCGTGATCTGAAGAAGGGTTAATCATATTCAGAGACGTGGAAGTAAACGCTGTCAGGACGAAACTAAGTTTTTCGAATAATTCAACAAAGAATAAATTCAAAATTTATGTAAATGTATGATATTATAGACAGGTTCTTGAAACATGAAAGAGATACAACTCGAACAGAATAATTTGATTCTCTTGGTAATAAGCGGAAACTGTACGTATATATCGCACAAAATGTTGCATGATATTCAGCTTGTATAACCACTATAACTTTGATGTGTATCGCACAAGGTGGGAGGACATAAAATGATGAATAACTCGCAAAGAAAAACAAAGCTTGTAAGAGGCAGTCGTTAATCTGCCTAACCTGTGTGGTTTGATGATTCCTCGTGGACATATCGGGGCCGAGTGTTATTTCATAAGGTTGGTGGTGATCGATTCAATGTGCTTCGTTCAAAGGAAAGAAGTATCCCATTTTTTATCCCCTTATCGTTGGTCTTGGTTCAGTGGATATAGTTATGTACGATTAAGTGCTTCTGGGACTAGCATACTTTTCATTGATTTTTTGCTCACGGTCAGACATTTTCACGGTGAAACTATACATACAGAGATATCTCATCTAATCCAAAAATTTCCAACCCTTTCGATAAATATATACAATAAACTTCAATCATACGTGGATCAAATTTGCAAAATCTTATTTGAAAAACACTGAAGCTACATAATTTGGCCATGTTCTTTCATACACATCAGATATCAGTAAAAAATTGTGACTTCACCTCCGTAAAAATATATGTATTATTCTTTTCAAGCTAAGCTTTATTACTGGGCTGAATTTAACACAGAATCTAAAATTAATCCCAAGGAGAGATACAATCTCGTGAATAACAACAGGTGTAACGCTGTTGTCAGCTTTTTTAAAAACAAAAAAGAAAGCGCGAACGTCATTTGTGGTCATTAGATAATTAAAAAATAAAAAGGTCAGGCGCATTGGTGGAAATCAAATCTCTCGAATTCTTCATTATACTTCGGCCGCTGTTCCTTCATACTAATCACGGCGTGGGATCGCAGTATTTAATCGAGTCAATGAATTCATGAAAATAAATGAAACGAGTATGTCGGATAGAAAATTCATAGGAGACATAAATGTTTAAGTGACAGAAACAGACAGTTCGGTACAGTCAGTTTGCTCGAGCACGCGGCGAAGTACGGTAGAGGGAACACCTAGGACGACGACTTCCGGTAGAAAAGGCTGCGCATGTTGGATGAGCGTAGCTGCCGCTATGCTGGTGGTCCTACTAGCAATATTTCTTACCTTGGAGCCACGAACGTTCCAACGTGCCATCTACACCCTCTCTAACAATGTCCCGAGGCAAACTGGGTACGATTTACCCTTCATTTTATTTATTTCTTTTTACAAGAAATTTTTTTTATTTTTTATTCACCATGTACCGCGTTTAAGATACCCCATGCCCAAAAATTGGAGAGTTATACATAAATAGTCAGTATTTCTTTTTTCAGAGTGAATATTTTTTTAATATTAACGTAGGCTACACCGTGATTTATGTTATGGTTCTTTTTTTATTAATAATCATAAAGTGGACCTCATTCTATTAAAAGGGAAAGAGTTTTTCTAAATGGATATCTTTTAATTTTTAAGAAACAATTTAATTTCAAGTTCAGGATAGCTAAGTAAGTATTACACTTTAGGGAACATTTCAATTTTTTAGATATAATATTTCCAATAATTAATAAAATTTTAAAGTATGCACAGTCCCAAAGAAGCTGTGTACACTCGCGATCAAATTAGACTTACCTAAGGTAAATAGTGATACAAGGGAAGTATGAATTTTTAAAATAAGATATTGATATTAATAGCAGTTTGGAAATAAAAATAATATATATTTTCATTTTTACATGTTACAAAATTTAGTATATAACTGACAAGTGCGAATAACAGAGTAAATGTTAATTCATATTTTCCCCCGTATACGTTTATATGCAAGTGGTCTACATAGACCGTAGATCTATACATATGAGGCCTCTATCTCTACACCGTCATTCTTCTCGGGATCGCCGAAGGGGAAAGGTGGGTGTCCGGAGAAGGAGGGCTTATAGTAAAGGCCAAAAGCTTCAAAACCCGAGAACCCGAGGAAACCTTTTGGGAGGACAAAGGGGGGAGGTGTAGTCGCCATTTTCCTTGGAGAAGGCTGCTTTGATCGGGAGTGTACAGTATAACAAAATACAGTCCCAGAAGAGTTCTGTATGACATAAAACAATATTATTTTAATACATTGTTAAAAAGATCATTTACAGGAATACAGATGGACAATGAAAAATTAAAATTTATTAGAAAGATACTAGGTGCAAATAAGTGACTATCCACGATACACTGGTTTAATTTTGAACGCAAAGCATTAAGTAAATATTTAAAATAACAATTTTATTTATCACACGTAGAGATGGTATTCGAGCAGTTAAACACGATTTGCGCGACAGGTAAAGGAGAATAAATTAATAAAACTTTGAAGAGATACGTATGCAAGCTTTTTTTTTCTGACACGTTTGATTGATCTTACCAAGAGTACCGAATGTGCTGCATGATTTGAGCACAATTTACACCTCGCATGATCTTTAATCGCATTCTTCTATCAGTCTTTAGTTTGTCTCCTGCAGCGTTTTACACGCCGAATAATTATTGTTCTGTTCGGTAGCGTTCTTATTTTTTTTTTTACGCCTGATTGCACGTACCTCCTCTAAAAAAAAAAAAAGAAATGAACAAACAACCGAATAATAGAGCTCGAATTTCACTTTAATTTCATGCGTCCTATATAGATCACTTATTTACCCTTTCTAGCTCTTCTCTGACAATAAGCAACTCAAGATAAAGCTAAAGTGTAGAGGGACCAACAAATCGTGTTTTTTTAGTCATGTTAGGATTGTTAGGCGAATCGTCATGTAAGTAGCCTTTATCTATGTACACGTGCGTGTGAACACGAATTCATCCATACACAATAATTATTTGAAATCGCTCGACAGATTGAGCTTCCATGAACGTCCTAACGCTTCGAGAGCTACTTTGAATGCGTTTAGAATTAGAATACTTACCATTTGTTTTTAGATACTTTGTCCGTCTTCTCTTTGTTTAGAACCGCTAAAATACAATGGCCAAACGATCGCACCTGATCGTGTTCGTTCGCCAAACGTATTTAAGAATGTAATTCTTTAAACAACAAATTTACACAGCACTTGAAGTAATCCTGAGCTTTTCTTCCGACCGATCTCTTTCATGATTTATTGTTCATTCTTTCAAGGTTTATTATATGTCGTAGTTTGGTAGATATATCTCTATCCTTCTGTGTTTTATTTCATTTTCATTTGCATGAAATACATTCAATACATTAACATTCGAACTGTATCCGATTAAATGATGGATCTCAAATTTTTTATTTTAAATTATAAAAATTAATAATGTATTTTGATTTTTGTCGAGATAAAGAACGATTGTGTATTCTAAAGTAGCTGACAACCAGTGTTATTCTAGTGGTAAGCAAATGAAATTTTATGAAAATTCTATAAATTATTATAAATTTGTGACTGTAATTACAATTTACCTAATCAAAGATTGCCAAAGGCAAATTATATATCTTTTAATATTTTCATAAAGCAAGATATTAAGAATATAAAAATGCCTTGAGAGAAGAATTTATATTCCAAAAAATTGCAATAAACATTCGGATATCCTAGGAGATATCTAAAAGCGTATCAAGTTGGAAGAAAAGTATCGGAGAAACTCAAGCCTGTAATGCAGCGAAAAGTTGCCTGTCTTTCCCCAGACAAAACTAAAATAACTATAAAAACTCGCGTTAATAATTTTCAATTAATAATTGACCGTTCGTCTAACAACACTAACTGATGTAGTTAGTACGCGCCCCTTTAAACTTGTTGCCACTATATATGCAGGGTGTTTCAAAGAGCTACGGTCAAAACCAGAGAGCGTTTTCCTCGGTCGAAAATTGTAAGTATGAAACTGCTCTTCTAAAATGATAAAGCTCGAACTGTCGAGAAAGTATGTAATTCTTTGGTACATATTTCATTTCATTCTTCTAGTCGTTGAAGTTACGATTTCTTCTTTAATTCGTATTTATTATCATTGATTCGATGCATAAGTTTATGATAAAGAGTATTATATCATTTTGTCGAGATCTGTTCAACGTATAGCGTGTATTAGAGGTGTGCGGGTACCCGAAAATTTAAGTTGGGTCGGGCGGGACTCCGAAAATTAATTTAGCACATAAATTTAGTTGGGTACCCATAATTTTGGACCCGGATTCAACTCGAGAGCCAAGATCCGAGTTGATATTTGGGTCCCGAAATTACGGGTACCCGAATAAATTAATGCTTTGGATAAATTTTCAGGTATCCACACACCCCTAACGTGTATTAAAGGTAGAATTATCTTTTTTTTTAGTATCTTGTTTCGTGACGATTCAGCAATAGTTCCTTTATGTAGGTAGATTCAACATTAGCAGTTTCTTATTGATTAGAATCAATTTCGTTACGAACGTTTCCTACTTATTTTCCACCGAAGAAACCCCCCTCCCTTTCAGTTTTTACCGTAGTTGAAGTACTCTTCTGTTGTATCGGACAGTTTCAGTACCTTATATACAGTATCTTATGACTAACTGCTAAAACGCTTTATTATTATTATTATTCAGTAGCTTTTATCAGCGCTTCACACGAGCTCGCTGCGTGCAGCACAGTCCTGCTTGCAAGGCAGGTTTCTTTTGACTTTGATTTATTAATAGAATCTATGCAGAATTTTCAAGTAATTGAATCGAAGAAACGTGTCTCATTTCTGAAAAGTATCATATTCAAAAAATTTTCAACCCTTGATCATTTCAACTCGTGACCCCGATCTACAAGATGGTGCATTGATTAAAATTAACCACCTAAATTTAATTAAAAAATAGTATAAAATTGAAAAGAATTTTAATCTAACAATTTAAAGTTAAATTCCCCGAGAGTTAATTACAGTTTTACAAAACTTTTTAGTTTCCAATACGAAATAAAAAGAACACGTTATTCTTCCTTTCAATTATTTTCCAAGCAAAGATTTGTATTAATATCAGAGATCAAAGTATCGAAATCTCTCTTGTAAGAAGTGTCTTAAATGTGCCTAAGTAATTATAATTATTCTCGGGTACAATTTGACCAATGCGGACTTAAGCGCTGCTATTAGTGCATAGTTATTTCACTTACATGTGACGAAACGAAAAATCGAAGGAAGCGAAGAGAAATCAAAATTATATGATTTAACTTCCTGTGACGGACGTTCTGAAATTCTATTATCAAACGATAACTACGATGAAGATGAACGTGTGAAGTATTATAAAAAATCATCGTGAAAAATATATATTTGAGAAGTAAGGAAAAGCGGTTGCATAGTTGGCTGATTAAGTAAAAATGCGTATTATTATTATTATATATTATGTATCGTCAAGTGTATAGCGATGTTGTTACTTTTTTTATATGTGTCTAGTATTACCCCTTGTTTTGGGCATGATGTAACCATTTGAGAGGTATATACGATTGGTACTTGTATCTATGTGAACCGCTATAATAGTAAGAACACGCATTCACCCTAAGCAAGAGCATGTCTTTTGATAAGTTCTCCTTTGTTACACAGAATCTGACTTTTTGCAACATAGCGAGCCATCCTACATGGAAACGACAACGACGGAAATGGACCCTGAAACTCAGGAAAGGTATCTATTGATTCAAAGAGATTAAATCTCTTCAGCGTTGCTTGGATATTTCAGATCTAGAGTTCATCTGAACCCTTGGACGGCGGACCATGGAGAGAGCCCCGATTTTAAATTTTGCATTGTTCCTTTAGAAATTATTCTACCAATGTATGAAACCCTTTCCTTTAAAAATGATACATTTAACATTAAGTTTATACCTTTGTACACGTTTTGTAAATTTGGGTCACCGTTGACCCCAGCTCCCCTGTTCAAGGGTGAATACCAGATGATAGCAAAATTAAAAATGTGATTTATGCAAAATTATTATGAAATATCAAGAAAATAAAACGCTGGATAATCATTGTTTAATTTTTAGAAAATATACATTAAAAAGTTACATTTTTACAGAATAACAAGAACCGTACATGTAATTACAACGACCAGCGATACGGGCAGCGGTACAGACGAATTGCGAGATTCCATGCAGAAAATCGTCGATCGATTCATGATGGAGGAAAGGCGAGATCAGTGAAGCATCCTAGGTCACATCGGGCGATTATAACATCAGAAAAACAGGATCTTTTTGTCAGCCAATGATCGTGCATCGATACGAAAACGAAAAAGCGTTCAAAGAAATCCTCTATTTCGCTGTCTGTCTAGTTTGACGCATCCTCGAGCGTCAAACGAGACAATTTCCAAAAAAGAAGCAAGCTCGAAGAAAAGATATCTCTATGTCTCTACCTTAAACAGTAATCTTTTTTTTCTTCGATGCTTAAGAAAAAGTATGCACGACGATTAAAAAAAAAACTTGTCACACTCATGGCCTACGCTTCGAATTTGCTTGCTTTTCGGTTGCATTAAGTTGCCTTACAAATATTTACGTTTAATCTTGCGATTAAATGAACGTATGTCGTCGCTAGTCCGGCTAGCTGATCCGCTAGTCCTCACTACGCCAACCCGTCCATGTGCAACGCCTTTCTCGTGTTGTTCAAAGCGAAAATGAGAAGAAATAAAAAAGAAACAAAAAATGAAATCGAGAAGAGAAGAAATTAAACGAAGCAGCAAGCGCTTTTACATGAACAATGGTGGACGAAGAAGAATAAAGAATAACGAGTATTCGTCTCGGATCCAGTTTCGACCAACACTATGGCGATATATACATACATATATATATATATATTATAATATATTTGTAAAACGCGAGACACGATCGAAATGAAAGCAGATTTTAACGATGACTTCGCGAAACTCGCCGCTCGTCAAGTTCGTTTCTTAGCTTTAGGGGATGATTGTAATATCTATCCTGCGCAATGCATCGCTTGATAATAGGTCAGCTACACTTCAATCACCTTTTCGACGATGAACTGCACACGTACACGCATACACAGATTCTAAAAAGAAAGAAAGAACAAAAAAAGAAAACGGAAAATAGAATTCTCGTTGCTGTACGAAGAAATTTAAAGAGAGACTGAGAGGCGCGCTCTTGATTCGCCTAGCAACGAGGAATCGATGTTTTTATGAATCGCAATACAATGTAAATTTAACTTATTTAAAAAAGAATATTTCCTAACAATTTTTAATTGTATATATGATAATTTCTTAGCGTAACTTATATAAATGTACTATTATACGATTGTAATAATTGCAAGATTATAGCCGTGAATATTTTATTTATATAGCGAGAATCATTGGACAAAATGTTACACGCATAAATCTTATGATCAGTGGGAGGTGAAATGTTAAAAGAGCAAAATTATTATAGTTATTTTAAAGAGAGAGGAAAAGAAAAAAGAAAAGGCATAATCGCTATAGAAAAAATGTGTTATTTAAACTTCTACGACTCCGAAACACGTATCGATAATTTAAAACAACGTTAGCTTTCAATGTATAACACAGTTTTCAAAAGCACAGAAAGGAATCGTATAGTATGTATTTAAAAAAAAATGAACAAAAATATATATATATATACATATATAAATATACATACTTTAAATAAGGTACTCTATTAATGTATAATAATATTGAAAAAGATATAATTATGCATCTGAAGTTTATAAATTATTATCTATAATGACTGTTATTCTATGTTTAATAGACTTGCCTAGAGCCTATCTGACCTAAGGACCAAAGGCACAATCACACACGCATCAAAAATAAACTATTATGCTCCCATGTACTGTCGTATACATTTATTATAAACTCATTAACGGACGTTGCGATACTGGCGTTTAAATATTTTCAATTGTTATAATACATTATGTATTATGGAACAAGAGAAACCGTTCTATGTTTTAAGCAGTACGCAAAAAAAAAGATGCTAATGTAACGTGACACGAATTATTGTTACAATCCATTTTACGATAGAATTTTTTTATTCACCGTCATTTCTCTCCAGTATATTAGTACATTTTTTACTAACAACTACGATCTATACTCTATTGAGTACGTTTAATAATAAAAAAGAAATTACTATATGCAGATCACGTAACTTCACTGGCTAATTTTCAGTCAATAATTGTTTAAACTCAAACATTAGATTTAAAATTAAATTTTTTTTGTTTAAGGATAATTTTAAATTTATATAAAAATATTAAAATTATTTATTATTATGAACTGTATGAAAATTTTATTTGAATATTTTAGTCATGAATTTATTTATTTAAGAAAGGAAATTGAAGTAATTTATAATGTACAATTCTATTAATATTTATTTTAAAAAGTATGCTCATAAGACAGTGATAAAATATAACTGCTAAAGTTCCTCTATTTATTTATTTATTTTATAGTAATTGAAGTTTTGTTCGCAAATATGTTCTCTAAGCCAGTAATGTTACGCCATAAGAACCTCTGTATACATTTTGTAATTGCCTAAACTCGTCACCAATCATATTTTTAGTTTAATAATAATGATAGGATAAACCTGTTCGATCCCACGCCACGAAAACCTTAATGCGAGCAAATTAAACGTCTACTCGTTTGTTTAATTCTAACGTTTACTAATATAACATTTCACCGAAAACTTTGTAATTAACTTTCTTAACAAAATGCGTGAAAGCTACAGTGTAACTCGGTATAAACAGGTCTTTTTGCGTTAGATAAACACCAATATTGTTACAACAATATCTAATGAACTGAACATTCGCTTTAGTATTTTATAACTACACTTTAACTCTAACAATCTACTTCTTACGACATAAAAATAAGGTATGTAAAGATCGATTCACCGGAGACGTGCGTCTGAACCAAAAGTGTATTTAACATTCAGTATCGCATCAGTGCGCTTTTAGCTCCGAAACGTAATTTTCTACCCTTCATGGTTCTGTTTTTTCTGAATAACGCGTTATTACACGACATGCGTCCACTCTAATTTTCCTCTAATGCTTAGCCCTCCGTAAATATTAACGATGTTACATTAAAAATTATAATGCCATCGTATGGCGTACGATATCAAAAGTAACAGAAAAAAATGAAGATATGATTTTATCATGTACTATTGTGTGATAGGGTTATTAACAACGATGTAATAAATAAACTGTTGCATCACAATCCTCGATGTACAATACCGAGCATGGTAGTCTTCCTCAAGGAAAATTGCAATCCCCCTACCCCGTGGGTTTCCATGAGTTCCCAGGTATCTGGCCGTCCTTAGGTTCCTTGGGGTGCTGGGGTTTCTGGCCCTTACAATAGGCTTCCTCTTCCGCGGATTCCGGAAGTGCAGCGAAATGTCACGATTGATGGGACAAAGCTATCAACCATTCGACCTAGAGCGAAGTGAAACTCCCTCAGTCTTACAGCGACCGCCGACGGGAGCGGATGTACCAGTTAAACGTATATATACCCTTATTTTATTTTCTGTGTTTATTTAATTTGCCGTATTTATCTTCTTAGCTTATTGAATAAACTTAGTAGGAGGATGAACATGTTGTTTTATTGCTGCATCCCTTACATTCGCACATCCCTTTATTCCTTACATCCTTGCATCCTTTACATTTTTTTTTTTTTTTTTTACGTGGTGGAAATCTTCAGAAAGACACCTCCAGCCTTCCTGGGCAGGGACCGGAGGTAGTGTGGGATTTTTACCCACTAAAACCACCACGGTGGCCTGCACTGAGACTATAGGGAGGGCGCCGGGACCTCTTACGAACACGCCTGGACCCCTGGCGCACTGGAGCTCCTATCTCGGGGGTGAGTATGACCTTTGACCCACCCCCATGTGTCAAGCTCCGCCGACATCGGGGGCCACACCCGATGCTGGCACTTCTCGGGTCGCGTATAGTGGAAGCTACGGCCCTAGCCCCAGCCCCCTGCGGCCCTTCGACCCCGCTTCATGCACTACATCCCTGCATCCGTTGCATCGCTGTATTCCTTACACCCCTGCATCCCTTACATCCCTGCATCTCTTATATCTCCGTCCCATATATCCCTGAATTCTTTATATCCCAGCATCCCTCACATCCCAGCATTGAACCCTTTAGTAGTCAAAATCGGAACTAAATTGGCACATAATCGCTAGCCCTCTAGCGGCAAAAATTTGAACTAAATCACGCACGTCGAATCAGCGCCCTCTGGTGGCAAAAAAAGAACTAAACCTTGCTAAGTTTTTGGCCCTCTAGCGGCAAAAATGCGAACTAAATTTTCGACGTCGAATCAGCGCCCTCTGGATGTGAAAAAAGGAACTAAACCTTGCTAAGTTTTTGGCCCTCTAGCGGCAAAAATGCGAATTAAATTTTCGACGTCGAATCAGTGCCCTCTGGTGGCAAAAAAAGGAACCAAACCTTGCTAAGTTTTTGGCCCTCTAGCGGCAAAAATGCGAACTAAAATTTTAACGTCGAAACAGCGCCCTCTGGCAGCAAAAAAGGAACTAAATTTTGCAAAAATTTCGCTAGGATGTAAGTGATGCAGTGATATGAAGGATTCGGCGGTATAATTAATATAGGGATATATTAGATGGAGGAATATAAGGGATGCAGCGATCTACATGATGCAGGGATGCAAAGGGTGACGAGATTAAAGGAATGCAGAGACACGAGGAATGCAGAGATATAAGAAATGCAGGGATGTAAGGCATGCAATCACACAGAGAATACGGGGTTACAGTAATTTAGGAGTAGTCCTCGCGGGTGCAATGAAAAGTGAAAAAAATAAATAACTACGAAGGGAAGTCTTGGTCCATAAAGAGGAATAGGATAATAAATAAGGAGAATAATAAAGAGAAATAAACTAATAGATAATTAGGAAGCCTGGTTTTGGCCCATAAGGAAAAGAAATTAAATAGACTTCGAAAGGAATGTTTGACAAGTTGATTCGCATCCCTCAGCTGTCGGTATAAGACTGTGGAGGTCGTAGCTGCTTCTAGATCAAACTTTTCATATGGAGAAGTAATTACTGTGTTTTGATTTAAGTTTGATTTTCATGTATATTATGATTTATTAAAAATTTATTAAAAATCCAGCATTGATTGACAGTTGTATATATAAATAACTTAGAAAAGAAGTTAACTGTATTGAATAACTAAAATGAAAGAAGAATTTAAGTCAATTAAATAAATAAGTGAGAAAGAAATTATGGGCATTAAATAAATAATTCAGAAATTAAATTGGGTAAATTAAATAATAACTCAGTTTTTTAAAATGATTTATTTACCAAGGTGCATGAAGTGAATACAAGTTTCACAAACAATTATAGTAATAATTGTATTAATATAATAGTAATAATAATATAATATTAACATAATATAATAATAATAATTTTTCGGTCTTGACTGATTTAAAAAAGAAATAGTGCTCACTGCATGCAGACCTAATCTCAGCTTGGGGTGTCTGGGGCCCCTAAAAGTGCTCACTGTATGCAGATCTAATGTCAGCTGGGGTGTCTGAGACCCCGTAAATGGATGATCCCTCGAAAACAAAGGCATATCCAATCTTCTGTATCTGTAGTCACTGTGTCCAGTTTTGTTTGATCTGTAGTCACTGCTATTACCGACTGATGGTAGTTAAACTAGAAGGGTTGTAAACAGTTTCTGTTAGTCTCTGATAGATGATGCGGTCATACAATTTAGAGTCGATTTCAAAAATAACTTTTTAAAATAAATTACAATTAATAAATTCTCAATATTACAGTCACTAACAATTGTAAATAAATGAAAATAAATTTTTTCTATTCATATATGGTTATCCGTGCAAATATAACTGTACTTTTTGTTTAAGTTTAATACATTTCTTCAACTTTTTAATTTAATACTTTATTTTCCTACAATTGCGAATTGTAGGTATAGTTTATTATTAGTATCTATCTTTATTTATTATGCTTTCATTAATCAATTATCTATGACTTTATTAAATTATTTATTGAGGAAGATAAAAACAAAATAATATAAGTTAATTTTTATCAAGTATCCAAATGATTATGGACGGTAGTGTATCTCATTGAAACGTTACCGGCCTCTTTTAGACTCTGAAGAAGAACTTTCGCTTTTTCTTCGTTACCAATACGTTCAAGGAAGATAGAGAGAAAGAGCGGGACTTGGTAAGAATTTACGTAGCACTTAATCCTACCGCTTAGAGACCCCAACGGAATCACCCTACTTCGCATTCTTGCTTACCTATTATTCTCCGTTTACTCCTGCACCACTCATCATCCCGAGCCTCTTCTTACATTCAAACATTTTCACCTGAACTCTTATTTTTTAACAAGGGAAGTCCTTAAACTGGATATGATAATTTAGGGAAGCAACACTTGCTTGTGAATTTATTACACGATTGCGTGGAAACATTTTAACTAGTCCTTAGGGATGGTGCTTTTCGTTAGGGATGTCTTATTTAAACAGAAAGATGTTTTGAATTTTGTAATGCTTTTTAAACGGCCGAAGTATTATTTAGTCAAACTCTATTGTGATTATTTATTTATGTGGAGCACATTACTTAATAGCATAACTACATAACGAATAACTACAAATCTTCAATAAAGTATCAAAATTAATAAACAAAGTTCCAATAGATATATAAAGCGATGTGAAGATCGCAACCAATTTCCAATTCTATTTTGCACCTTGCTGTCACGTTACTTACAGGAAACAACAGTTCCTGGAGGCAGGGTGACTCGAAATAGAGATGACACTTCCTTGCTGTCAGAAATGAATGAATCCCGGTGGAAAAGGTCCTGATCAAGCTCCAGCAG